TTTTATTACCTACAAACTTTCACATAATTTGCTATTAATATTTTTAGATCAACACGAATCAGATAATAGAATAAAACGTTAAAAAAAACGTATTCTGAATGACACTCTAAGTACATAAAACTCTTTTTTAACATTTGTTATAAGTAATTACAATAATTTTAATGTTCGTAAAGATATCTACATTTCCTTATTTTAACATTTATTTCCAATCTTAAATTATTTGTAAAATGATATTAGAAACAGGCTATTTATGTATACTACATGTTCCACTTTTAATGTCACCCAGTATTATCGTCCTAAAATTTGCTTTATTTAAATTTTTCTAAATAGGGTAGTTCAAAATTAACACAAACTCTATAAAATCAATAATTCGACAAATTTCATTCGCATTTTTGAGTCATCCTGTTTACCTTTACCCTTGTGATCCGAAAATTATTTTAACCGCATACCAATACTGGAAAATAGTAATGCGTCATTGGCGAAAATGATTCAGCAAAGAATCATTTTTTTAAATTATACGAATCGTTATCCTTGACCTTGCGTCCTTTACCTGAGGCAACATTTCTGATACCTAAATAAATTGATGCAGGAAATTTGTTTTAATATTAGCTCGTGGTACACACACGCTAGGCGCGTGTTTTCCATTTAATATAACTATTAATTTAAAGACGGGGAGCTGATGCTTTTCTTTAACTAAAAAAAAATAAAAACGTAAACAGCAGATGGTTATTTTTACGAGCGAGTCATAAAAGTGTTTCACTCATCGACTCAATTAATACTCGATCGATTGATATACCTTAAATATATGGCCGCGACGCTTTGTGATTAAAACCGATTTATATTCCTTTAATGATCTTCCGCATATCCAAACCGAAAAAAAGTATTTTTGAGGCCAAGTTTGAAGTGAATTGTGTTTGCAACATCAAAGGATAACAAATGGAAATACTTGACAGTTTCCGATTATTATCAGTTGTTTCAAAAAGAGTGACATATGTTGGTACTGTTATGAAATTTATTTTGAACAAGACAAATAGATTGTTAGCTAAAAAAATTAACGGTTGCACACACAACTATTAATTGAAAGAAAAATGTAAATATTTGCTTACAAATTAGGAGAAAATTACGTATGGTACGACTTTCAACAAAAATAATAATTCGTTTGTCTATTTCTTGAATCATCTTTGATCAAATATGGAATACAACATTGTTAATGTTTGAGGCTTGTTTAGAAAAATTGCGTTCATATATTTATCTAATTTTAATTTAATTGTTTATTATCTTTAAAAATATTTTTAAATGCTTGTTAACACCTACGTGATATTACTCAACTCAAACATTATTACAAAGTAAAGCAAAGATCGCAGGTTAAAATTAAATTGCATCTGGTACGTTTTAAAAATATACCAACGATCGAAAAGTTTGAATCTCAAGTTTATTACATTTTAATACCAGTAAATGACTAGAAAAAAACACAATTTTTCGCTTATTGTTTTTATTTTCAACTAACTTTACTAGAATAATGGAAATAAATTATCCTTGACCTTCATTACCGATAAACAACCACAAAAACAGAAGTGAACATCCGCAATTATAAGTAATTAAAAAATATAAGTGTCAGCAGAATTAAATTACGAGTGTCATATTATTTCTAATGTCCAGAAAAAGGATATGAAAACTGTATACAGGAAGAAAAAAATGGAACTTGCTAAAGATGTATGTTATACTATTTATAGTTGAGGCTGTTTAAAGTATCTAGTCGAAAAAGGGCATGTCACGGGTAATAAGACTTCCGTAATTCCTAATCAACTTCGTTTTAAATTCACAAATTTAATAACCTCACAAGCATGTGACTGTTTTTTTTTCCTCAGTTACAGTTAACATTTCTTAACGGAAATATAATTAAATGACCAAGCTACAATTTTGGACCCCTTTTACGCAACAAAAATGTAAAATTCAGCAAAATTTCATCGAAAAACAAGATAATCATCACAAATTCTAAAAATAACAAACCGGCCAATTTAATAACAAAATTTTATGAATGACTGGTTAGACAAGATTTGTGTTACCAAGTAAAATACGTCGAGCAATTTGGAATATAATATCTCAAAAATTCTCACAGAATTTCGGTAAAACTTGCAGAAAACATTCACAAAAGCTTTGGGTAAGAAAAATATGTCTTTCCAATCTGAATAAAAGGACAAGATTAGGGCGAAAGCTCGACAGAAGCTTTTCTCATAAAAACAAATATTTACCGGATCGAAGAGAATGATAGGGAACATAATAAAAAATTCCCAAAGGACGTATTTTATCACCCACACACCAAATTCTGATTCTGATTTTTTTTCTAGTATTAGGTATCTCTGATCCTGAGTGTTATCAAGTGTGAAATAAAATAATTGGCTTTATCTAACGATTGTTTCCATTGTGATAAAAATATCCCGGAGTTTTTGTTCCTTCCAGTTAATGATTGACTTAATTTCGGCTTTATCGCTATAGAAACAACCGTTTGGTGATAAAAACTGCTTGTCCAAAAAGAAACGTTTGTTTATTCAGCAAACAAACATCGGAAGCGGTGAATTTCGCTCGAAAAAAGTAAATCAGGCCCTGTTTTTGTTTACGTGGGTTGATCGAGGTGCCAGAGGGCTCGAACCGGTACCGAAATAAATTCTGAACGTACCTCATTGAAGGCCATATCTGAAGGTAGTTCGATGGCCTGTTCACCTGCAAGATGACAACAAATGGGGCTTCTCGCGTCGCGCTCAATTCGCCGAATCCGAAGAGTTCATCGGAGTTGGCTCACCGACAATCCACATTTGTTAAAAAATACGTTGCACCGATCGAATTACACAAAAATTTACATTCCTCAGGTGGGATGGCTGGAACTGAACCGTGAGTAGAGTCTGTCGACGTCAATGCACCGTCACGTGTTTGGGACACTTCCGGGATCCGGGAAGAAAACGGGACCACTTCAAAGGCGCTGATTTACGCACAGTTTAGGGTTTTGTACACACATCTGATGCACCAGCAACGAGCCGGGCGCCATATTGCATTCATGTCAAACTCGAGCCGAACGAGTAACGGAATCGGACGAAATCGACCGAGGAGGAATTTTGAACGGTCGGTTCCCTCCAATTCCGCCTTTTGAGTGAAATGAATTCACGAGTCATCAATTTGTTACGTCATTTTTGTTTAGAGTCTATTATTGAACCGACATTTTTAATTTATAGGTTTTTTGTGCTGTATAGAGAGGTATTTGTAGTGGAATAATGACGTGTGACAGGTGGAATTAAAAATTCACCTAATGAGTGAATGGGTTATTTTCGAACGGGCAAAAGGTCGTCGGCACACATGTGAAAATAAATGTGCTGTCAACGTTTATTTCATATAGTTATTACGCAATTTTGCCATTTATGAAAGCGATTTTCATTGTTATTGAATTGTTTTGAATTTGCAGTGACCTGTGTTCACATGCGGGCAATTTGCGTAAACATAATGTGCCATGACGCGGGCTTTTAAAATCATTTTTATTTTTTGTCTTGAGTTTCTCCTATAATTTTTAGTGATGAATGATGATAATAAATTACAGCAATGACTAAAAAGTATTGTTTATTTTCCTCATAATCTATTAATCCACCTATTGTTTAAATTTATCATTAAGTTAAATGTCGTGTAAATCATAAAATTAAAAGAAATGATTCTATTATATCTTATGATAAAATAAATTTAAAGTCGAAGTAGACTTTGAGAAACAAAATTAAAGTTTGCTTGAAACAAAAAAAAAATTTGTAGTGTTATTTTTGTCGAACTCAAAATAATATTGTACCAAGTATCTTTTACAAAGACAGAAATGCTACAAATTTATGAAATCAAAGTTACAGATCCAATTTTTGACATTTTCTGAAAATTTACTGTAAAACAGGCTTTAACATCAAATTCGATTTTTCAAAACCTCCAAAACATCAAAATGCTCGATAAATTACACTAAAGGCCATTTTCCCATTTTTAATGACCTTGCTGTTCCATTTTTTTTGTCCGGCACAGTGTACTGAGTCAAAAACGTTGATAGTATATTTTATTTATTTTATACCTATAGTTCAGAAGTTAAGGGCTAGAATGAGAGAAAAATTCTTATTTTTTTATTTTTTTCATATGACACATCCTTTGGCTTAGCAGATATGATTGATATGTGTGATGATTATATTTTTACAAACCGAACTTGGCAATAAATTCAAATCATATTAATAATAAGTTTATTTCCATTAATATTCTTTAATTTATTCAATTCTGGCATAAACGCAACATTATTAAATCTGTAAAAGCAATCACGAAATTTTATCTCATCTGCGAAGAGCTTTCGTGACATCTGACCATATTTCTAAAAGTAGCTGCTCGTAAGTCTATAAATAGTAACAAACTTTTAATCCAAAGAAAATAAACATTACCAAAAACAATAAATCTTTTAATTCTCAAACAATATTTTGCTGCTCAAGGTTGCCCCATAAAACCCCAAAATAAAAAGTCAAAACCGCATTCCCCATAGTCATAAATTCAATTTTAGTTTAATTAGTTTATTCCTCACACAATAAACTTTATTTTATTTCCGCATGAGTATTTGCTCGTTGTGACTCGTAAGCAATTTAAAATAAATTTCACAATTTGCCCAACTTGTTGCTTCAGCCGCTAAAAATGATAAATCCTGCAACCTATAATTATCTAAATCTGGGCCCCGTGAGTGTTTGTGACTAATAAAACGGCAATATATAATGTAAAATTTGGCTTTTCGTGCCATTTCCTCGCCTAATAGCCACTTTGAACAGAAACTCCTAATGGAATTTAAATTGCACCCTCGATTCTTTCAAATTACCAGAGACGTTGGTATCAGGTCGCATTCTTGGAGGCGTCGACGGTGATGACGTCGAATCGGCGGTTTTGCACGGTACCAGGGGCGTCATGGGTGCATTTCCTTGGTACCCATGGGAACCCGGCACGAGCTTTAAGCAGGTTAACCCAACTCCTCGAGCTGTTGCATTCCCTCACAGCTCTCTAACCGCAAACATCACTAAGAAATGGCCCATCGCGGCTTGTAAATTGCCACAAGTGAGTATCGATTCTCGATAAATCGCCCCACTGAACGCTTTTCCAGTACGAGGAACGTCAAGTGCCGTTTCTTAAATGATGAGATGAGAAAAATCCCTGGGCAACTTACGGGACAAGTTGTCCAGGGAGACCAAACCCATGACATGTGTCATCAAATCCGCAAAGACATGCCAAACGATGGTCGAGCCCCCTGAAAAGCTGAACCAAGCCATCATGGTCTCTCCGCTTGTCGCGAGTGCCCCGTCGTCCCCCAAGCATGGGATGGCACCAGAGACCAGTTCCGAAGGGATGAAAAGGTCAAACAGTTGTATTGAAAATAAGTACAAGTGCACCATCACTTCGGAACGGTTGAGTCGGCTAAGGAAAATTGTTGAAACCGCCGTTAAAGAACATAAAGTCTTCACTATAAAAGGTAAGTCGAGGTGAAATTGGCGTAACCGGAACGTGGAGTTGTCGTGAAGAGAATTACAACACCACAGGGACCAGTGGTGATCATTAATGTGTTTTTTTCTGTTCTCCTGCGAAATCACCAGACTATTAAATATTAACTACTTTGTAACATTTTACTTAAAATTGATGAATAGTGAGTAGAGATATCAGTATTTCTTGTTTTAAGGCAATATCTAATAAGTTTTATAAAAAAATACACAAATAGAGGGTAGGGTGGTGCTAAAAACTTTTTTGCAGTACGATTTATTTGTTCATCATATTTTGTTTGCAAGATATTTCCATTTTATACAAAAATATCAATGAATGTGTAGGCCACCAACAATACACAATAGTTAAAACAGCTTTAGTAGTGCTTGAGTTAATTAATTTTAATTGCATTTTCTCAGACAAAATGTTGAACAAAATAATGTAAAAATATCTAATCTGCTTTCATGAAATCTATAAACCTTCATTACTTGATTTTATTAAATGTTTTCTTATTAGACTGCATATTTTTTTTTAAAACACACAAAAAGTTGCTCTCTGTCACACTTTTCTTATTAACTCAATGGTTCAAGATGTTTTTTTCTGCAAAATTTGCATGGCAAAGAACTGGTATTTGTAGAACTGCACGCAAGGACTGGGGCAATTTGCTCATGATTTGCCATTAAAACTGATTTGAGATTTTTATCTGTAAACGTTAATGAGATTGAAAAGATACATGCAAATAAACATCTATGTCTTAAAAAAACTGAACTTGTTTGCGTGGAGATATGTTGATTATACAAAACTAAGAATAAATAAAATATGTATCAAAACTGAAGTTTTTTAAACTATTTATTTTGACAGGCGGCTGGCCTGTGATTCGACGTGAACTGATCAAACGCAACTGGGTTGAAAAATACGAACCATCAGTCACCAAAGCCAAATCTTCAACTGCCCCCAACTCCGACGACCTCGTCAGCAACCTCCCCGTCAAACACGACTGGGAATCCCCGTCCGCCTACATCGAAAAATGCGAGAAAACAATCATGTCTCGTATGCTCCAAAATTTCGACGTGGACTTTTACTGGAGCATGCGGAAAGACCAAGCCGACCTTCTCCACCGCTCCAACAGCTACAAACTCATGAACCGTTTCAGCAAATCGCTTTTCGCCTCCAAAGAAGGTTTAGCCCTCTTGCTGCAACAGCATTACTGGCACAGCGAGCCGGGAGTATCCTCGGTGAACTTTCCTCGCTGCTACGTTTTAGGTTTTCCTGACCACTTTAATAATTTCGTCGATGACTTCCGGACGACTGCATGTATGGGACTTTTGAAATGGTTGGTTCAGAAATACGACACTGAAAACAAGTTTGGAATTCAATCGCCGGAAGGGCAAGTCCCGTTGAATACCTTGCAGTTTGCGATCGATCGTTGTAATCAGTTTATCGAATGTCAGAAACATCTAGATATTGATAAAGAATATCCGCGGATTTGGGATCACGAATGGGAACAATTTTTGACTAATTATTACTCGGTTATGCACAAAAATGCGCTGTTTGACACTTCAGATGTTCATCCCTTGACAATGTATTACATCAAAGCGAAAAATATTCTAAACGAGTTGGAGAAATTTTGGCCCGAGTTTGGCATGGATGGTATGAAGAATATATGGATTTTGAAACCGGGGAATAAGTGTAGAGGAAGAGGAATACAATTGGTTAAGACCATAGCAGACGTGGAAAAAATGATGAATTTGAAGCTGAAATACGTGGTTCAAAAATATGTAGGTGGGTAAATAATTTTGGGTAATAAACCATTTACCGAGCACTATTTAATTTTGAAAAATGGCTTTAGGTGTTTTAATTATTTCACTTCAATAAATCTTTATTAAGGACTGTTTTCTCATTATTTTATAATTTTTGGATGTGAAAACACCCTGAGCTGTCGTTTTGCTTCCAGAAAGACCTCTTCTTATTCACAAAACAAAATTCGACATCCGCCAATGGTTCATAGTCTCGAACGTTCAACCCTTGACAATCTGGATGTACCGCGAGAGTTATCTTCGCTTCAGTAGCCAAATTTTCACTCTAGACAACTTCCACGAATCCCTCCATCTCACCAACCATGCTGTTCAGTGCAAATACACCAACGTCGAACAGCGAGACAAAGCTTTACCTGATGACAACATGTGGGACTGCCACACTTTCCAAACTTACTTAAAACAAATCGGTGCTAAAGAAAAATGGAACGAAGTTATTTTACCCGGAATGCGAGAAGGGATAGTTTGCGCCATGTTGGCTAGTCAGGATGTGATGGACCGCAGACAGAACACTTTCGAGATATATGGAGCTGATTTTATGATTTCGGAGGATTACAAACCTTGGCTGATTGAAATTAATTGTAGTCCGGATTTGTCGCCTTCAACTAGCGTGACCAGTAGGATGTGTCCACAGTGTATGGAAGATATCATCAAAGGTTGGTAAAAATCTTAGTTTGGTTGAAAAGCCAATAATTTGTTTTAGTTGTGGTTGACAAGAAAAGAGACCCAACAGCAGACACCGGCCTTTTTGATTTAATTTATCGGCAAACATTGCCCCGAGTTCCCCCCTATTTGGGGATGAATTTGTCCGTTCGGGGTCGCAGGATTTTCAAAATTAAAAACAGACACAAAACGCCACAGAAGGAACGAAGCAAGGAATTTGATAGTAGTGCTCAAATGTGGCTCAACAGGAAACACGAGTTTGTCAAAACCGAGTTGAAGCGAAGTTTGACGGCTCCAGCACCCACCAATTTGCCAAAATTGCCGAGTCCAGGTCTGTATAAAGGTCCAGTGATCGAGGATCTGATCGATGATTTGAGCAAGTCGATCAAAAGTCCGAAAATCGTGAACGTGGACGTGATTAAAGTACCGAAATCGGAACCGGTGAAGAAAAAATGTGAACAGAAGAATAAGCGGGAAAGGGTATCTAGAAAAAGGGGCTTATGTAAAAGTAAAATTAACAAAGTGACTTTTATCTCTAGAAAGCAAAACGTAAAAGAAAACATTAAGTTTGAAGAAAATACAGATAGAACTAGTAGTTATTTGGGACTTTTCAACGAATGGGCATCGAGAAATAAATCTTCGGAGAGAGAAAATTGCATTTGGGAACGTGAAACTGCTAGTATTTTAAAGGGGAAAAATATTTTAAACGGTGCACACAACGATGATGTTGGCAATAAAAATTGCTTCAAGTCGAATGATTGTTTTACTTTACTGCCACAGATTAATGCCAATTGCAAATAAATTTGATTCTATTTCATGTTGTAGCTTTGATAGTCTATAAGAAATCAAGTACCTAATTGTCGCTTTAAAATGAAACGTTTCAGCTTTAAATTTTAATCTGTTTATCGAAAATTTAAATAAAGTTTAATTTTGTAAAAAAATACTTTCATTCACCCTGATCCAACCATCACAAATCAAAATTAACAATCGAAAGTTGACGTCATTAAGCGGCTTATTATGTCAAAATTGTAAGGTGTTTTATCATCCATTATCAAAATTATCTGTTTTCCATTAAACTGTTCAGCATGCGTGAACACCCAACATTAGAAAAAGTAAGTTCCTATTCAAAACTGAAACTTTGAACTTTCAAAAATTCCAAATTTAAGCAAGTTGTAAAAAAATGCGGACACATCGGTCAACAAATTGCATCTTCAAGCAGAAGCAGCAAATCAGCATATTCCACAGCCCAAAATGTCCTCATTAGCGCGTTCCAAAAGGTAGAATTTTAAAAAAATACGTTGTTTTAATTCCAAGTTGTAGACCGTCTCAAATATTCAAAAAAAATGTCCCCACGTTATGAACAGAAATAGACAAAATGTTGCTCAAGTAAATAAAAATCAAACCGGAAACATAATTAAGGTGATTTTGATGAGTCTTTATTTTTTATTCTTTAATGACATATTTTAGAAACCATGCGGCCACATTGCTAATACGAATACTAATGCACAAGTGCTAAGAATAAATTGTCCTCACAAAAACAAGACACAGAGTCCCACTGTCCAAAACAGTACCAACTCAGAGGGTCAAAATACGGTACTAATTAACAACTTTAGAAATTTTTTCCAGAATTTGGTTTTAGGTAAATTCTCCTCAATCAGCAAAACTTTCAGTCCAGTTTACTAACCAAGTGCAAGCCCCACAAGTACAAACAATTACCCCAATTACTTTTCATTAATTTATTAAATTTTAGAACAAAGTTGCGGAACCAAGTCCTCCTAATAATAAAAGCAAGGATGTTAAAAGGGTGAAAAATGCCTCTCCAGGAAGGCAAAAACCTCCTAAACCCACTCCAGCACCTCTAAAACCACCCCCAGGCGTCCCAAAATCGGCAACCAACGAATCCATAACCGAGATTTTTAAAAGAACAGTAACTGAAAAATCCTCAAATGAGGAGCCCACAAATAGCGAAAATCTATCGTTTCAAAAGGTAACCCATTGTTTCGGTTTTCCCGTTTTAATTTTAGCTGTAGGTAACACAAGAGCTTGCAGATATAATAAAAAATTTCCAAAAACAAATCCATGAAGTTCCTATTGCAAAAGCAAAGTTGGAAGAGATTCCCTCTGCGATGATGCAACCGAAAATTAAAGAATTTTTCAAAAAATCGGAACCTCCGGTACAGCAAAATCAGCAAACAAATAAAAATCAAGCGGCGCAAAATAATAAAAGTGGGAATAATAATAATGGGAATAAGAGTAATCAAAACAATAATGGCGGAGTAAAGAAGCAAACGAGTTTGAGGAGTTTTACTCCGAGTAATAACACTATGGCAAATTCTAGCAGTGTCAGGTATTTTTTTCTCCTTCTAAAACCGTAAATGATTGATGACAAAAATATGCAAATTAAGTTAAATAATTGGATATTTATTCTTTGTAGAAGATTTTCCTCGTCAACCAACCACGCTTTGACCCTAAAATCGAGTTCTTCGAGTACTACGAGCAGCAGACTTTGCAAACGCTCAAGTTTCTTCAACGTCGATCCTCTAAAACAGTTAAAAGACGAAGTTCATAAAGCAATCCGAGACCGAAAAACTTTTACGGTCCGAGGCCATTTTAGGCCGATACGAAAGGCTCTCCTCGAGAGAGGATGGGTTGAAAAATTTCACGTTTCATACAAAGACCAATTAAGCGAAGATTTAAAACGTTACCAGAATTATTCAATCAACGAATTGCTGCCTCTAATGAGACGAGAAGACTTGACAAACCTTTGCAAGAATTTAATCAAATCGAAATTGTTAGGAGGCTACCAGGTTGACTTTTACTGGGGAACCAACGATGACGCTTTTAAAGAAAATCCCGATAAAATAAAGTATACGATGATAAATAAATTAAAACGCGAGATTTTTAGTTATACGAATAAGCAAGGATTGTGCGATGCCAGTAAAAATTCTTACTGGTACCAAAAATCTGATGTCGCGAAATTGAACCATCCCAGGTCTTACAGTTTAGGAAAAAATGGTGATTTGAAGGGGTTTGTCGATGATTTTAACGTAACCGCCGCCATGTCTCTGCTCAAATGGGTGGTCAAAGTCAACATGACCAAAGAGTCAAAACTATTGAGCCCCAGTGGGAAAATACCACTTGAAACGTTCGATTTTGCCTTAAATGAGTGTTGCAAGTTCATTAAAAAGGGGCGTCACGAGGACATCGATGTGCAAATACCGGAAGCTACGGAAAACGAATGGAACCAGTTTTTGGAATACTTTTACAAGATTGTGCACTATAGTAACCACTTTAAGAGTGAAGGAACTGAGACTGAGGATTCGTTGGTCCGAAAGTCGAATTACATTTTAAACAGTTTGAGGGGTTTTTATCCGTTTCTTGATATGGACGGGATGATGAATATTTGGATTTTGAAACCGACGGCCAGCAGTAGAGGAAGAGGAATACACATGTGTAGGACTTTGCAGTATGTTTTGAAAATTGTCAAGCAAAACTCTAATATTAGATACATCATCCAGAAATATATCGGTAAGTTAAAAATTTATTTTTCTTAAAACCTTGGAAAAATTTGACTGTTCAAAGAGTACTTTAAGTTATTTGATTACAACAAACTAATACTAAGTACATCAAAAATCTATCTCAAAAAATATTTCTTCTTACTTCTTTACTACACGAAAGCTTTTTATTTACTTCACAGACACAAAATAAAACAAGATTTTTTAGAGCGCCCCCTCCTCATATACAACACCAAATTCGACATAAGACAGTGGTTTTTGATCAGCAATTGCAGTCCACTAACAATATGGATGTACAAGTAATTCTTCACTTATTTGTCAAAATGTTTATCTAAATACCAACTCTTCAGAGAGTGCTATTTGCGCTTCAGCTCGCAGACCTACAACCTCCGCAAACTGCACGAATCCATCCACTTGACAAATAATTCGGTTCAGTGTAAATACAAGAACGCCTCGTTGGACACGGCACTGCCGAGTTACAACATGTGGGACTCAAACGATTTCCAGAGATACTTGGCAAATATCGGTTATCCAAACTCTTTCAAAGACATAGTTTATGCCGGAATGAAGCAGAGTATAACTGCTGCGGTAATGATGCATCAGGATAAAATGGTCGTTCGACGAAATTCTTTCGAGTTGTACGGCGCCGATTTTATTTTGACTGAAGATTTTCAACCCTGGTTGCTGGAGATTAATTCGAATCCGGCCCTGTTCGCGTCGACGCCGGTGACGGCGAGGATGTGCCCGAAGGTGCTGGAGGATGTTGTCAAAGGTAGTTTAACATGCTTTAAATTTTTTGTGAGATGATTGGTTTTAGTTGTTATCGATTATGGTCACAATAATAAAGCAAGTACTGGATTGTTTGAATTAATATACAAGGAACCATTAACAAAATTGCCTCCACCTGCAACTTTGGAACTCAAAGGTTTGCCGCTGCAAAGCAACTACTTTTTCAATGCTCCAGATCAAAAACTGAATGAAGAATTTAGTGGATTTACATTTAATAACAGTAATAATAGTGCCTTAGTGGTTGACGAGGCCCAGGATTGTTTGAAGACGTTTGGTGAAGAGATTAAGAAAACGTTAAAGAACTTGTTGCAGATTATACATAATGAGAAAGAAAAACGTGAGGCGAAGCTAAATCAGAATCTTAAGAGTGTTACTGTTTGAATAACAAAAAATATTATTTTGTGGAAGTTCTCATCATTTTAGGGTCTAAAATTAAAAGATGATTAAGTCCTAAATCAGACTTATTAATAGAAAAAATAAAATAAATACAATGTGTTTTAGAACTCATTATGTAGCTTATAATTAAGCGAATTATGTACATATAAAAAAGTCCACGATCCACCTTAGAAAATTTAAAAATCAGTCACTCACACAGCACTCACTATTATAGAACAGGTTTGAGCGAGAACGACAATTTCGGTCTTGAATTATTTTTTCCCAAAATTTTTTTCTGTTCCTCTTTCACTCTCTTTTCCTGTTCCTTCCTCAGCCGTTGCCTCTCTTCGTCCATTTTTCTCTGTTCTTCAACCATAGCTAACCTTTCTTCAGCCTGACAAAGCACCGTTAAAAACCTTTTAACGAACAACGTGTCAAATTTACCAATTTTCGTTGGGCTTCTTCAATCTTCCTCTGATTTTCTTCCAAGATTCTTTCCACCATTTCTTGCTTTCGTTGTTCTTCTTCCTATAAAACATATAGTCCAGTCAATGATTGTCCAGGCCAGCTGTGCCTGGCCCGAGCGCTCATCCACCTCACCCGCGTCCCAGAGAGACGCCCACCCACCACACACGCACACGGGACTCCGAGCAGAGCGGTCCGATATCTGTAAGCGATATCGAAGCACTTGGCTTCGCCTCGGCAATTTCGGATTTGGAAAATCTCGAAATTTCCGAGACCGGATTGGTTTAAAATAGGAACACGATCGTCACGGCAAGGGCCAGTGGGTATAAAAATAATAATACAACTCCTGAGTCAAGTCTTAAAGGTATAAAAGTGTATAAAAAAAGATTGGATAATACCTGAGGCGCGCCGAGTTGTCCACTGCATCTGACGATCACTACGCCTTATCTCTTGGTGCTCACTGACGACCCTTAGCTTACATGCTATTGGCATATTAATTACATAACTTTTCGGGATAATGTAGACACTCATCTACATTCTACCTATTTGTGCAACCACGTCAAGAAAAATACTTCAAATTTATGTTCCCCTTTATTTATTTAAAACACTTTTGAGATTCAGAAGAGTTCTCACTTGAAGGAGTTTAAAGTAGAAAGGTTTTTGGGATGGAAGTGCCAATGTAAGAACCTCATCATCCTTACAAAGACACAAATATGAAAAATACTCCAACAAAGAGACGTAGTTTACACAACATAAATCTATTTCAACTCGGTATAACAAAAACAAGTATACAGTAATTAAAAGTAAGATTAAGAAGTTGCTAAAAATCGGCGGGGGGCCGTAATCTTATCCTTACCTCTCTACGCTTCTCTTCTTCTCTCTGCTTCTCTCTTCTCCTTTCCAAATCCTCCATCATTTGTTTTTCCATAATCCTCTTTGCCTCCTCCACCCGTTTCGTCACCTCCTTCTCAATCTCATCTTTCCTCTTCTCCAGCTCCTCCTCTACTCGCTTCTTTACCAACTCCTCAATCCTCTTCGCCGTCTCCTCCTCTATCAACCTTTGCTCGGCCTCCCGCTGCCGCCTCTGCCTCTCCATCTCCGCCAACCGCTCCACTTCGTCCATCTTCCTCGAACGGCTTTTCTTCCGCAAATGTTTCTCACTTCTCAAGTCTACGGAAGCGTCACTGCTCGACGTTGACGAGACGGAATTGGAACGTTTCCTAGTCACTGACATGTTAGAACACCTCCACTAAACCCATCACAACCCCACATACCTGGATTTAGAGCTTTTTTCTTTGACCTTTTCCGAATTTTTGCAAGTTTTGCTGTGCGAAGTCGACCTTCGTTCTGACCTTTCTCGGGATTTGCTGCGTTTGTGATGTTTACTTTTGTGGTGCTTTCGCGGAGAACGACTCCGCGAACGCGACCGACCCATTTTTACACAATTTAACACGAAAAAATGTATATTTTCACAGCTTTGTCCTGTGTTGACATTTGACGAGCTGGCGGACGCGAAGTTGTACGAAAAAGTGAATGCGCGAAAAGACTAAAGTGCACCTAACTGAATCGTGATTTTAAATTTAAATTACATTACTTTTCAAAATTTTACACCATTTTTAAATGTTTCATAGAATTAGATAAACATGTGGATAATTTTTCTAAAGTGTTTGATTAAAATAGTATTTTTTACTGCACAACTAGTTTTTAGAGCTTTCGATTAATCTTGCGCATGATATGTAGAGTCCAGTCTATTTTAAATTAATAGGTTATCAACTTGGTTTTGTAATTTTTTAGTTTTGGATTAAATAATGTCTGTTTAAAGTCCGTTCATATTGTAAATATAATACAATGATTATAGTGTTATTAAATAATACGGTAAAGGGCAAAAAAGCTCTTTTTCTCGCACAATGGGGCTTCGCAGCGAGTCAACAATGTAAAGTGTCTTATGTTCAAGGACAAGAACCTGAGCCCAAAATAAGGGAATATTTTTATTATATTGATCATCAAGGAATGGTAATTAGGTAAAAAGAGTCCAAACACTAACGAAAACAGCTATTTCTAGATGATTCAAAGATGAAAAACTTTACGTCTTGCTTTAAAGAGAAGAAATTCTTGCGTTTTTTTTTCAATCAACTGCGATTGAATAATACTGGGAGGTACAAAGAGTTTCCTTATTTGTCGATTTGTGGAAAAGAACGGAATTTTATTAGATGTGATGACTATCCAATTGTCTTCACTCATGTGACAAAAGCGATAAAAGACAACGTTGAGGAGACACATTTGGCTCATAATCATGCAGGAGCTTTACTCACACTTAAGTTTGATCCAAATAAAGTTGTGATGATACCAGAGACTGGGCGAGTCTACCATCCAGCACCTGAACGTGCAGGGGGCGTTGGTCTAATTAGATCTAAACTGGCAATCGAATTTAGTAAATATTTCACTTTTAATGACGGTGAAAGTAATCCTCCAACCCATTTCACTTTTGGGGGAGTAACATATGAGTTAGATAATAATTGGTACAGGGAAAAAAATAAGCAAATGTAGTAATCCTTTTGTTTTATTAAAATACTCGTGATAATTAAAACTTTGTATAAATAATTTCAATAAAAATTTTGTTCTTATTGCACCTTGCACTTCGTATTTACAACTCTGTTATACAGTTGGTGTCATGTGAAAATTGCGTAGCACTAAAAAGTAAAAAAACTTGTACTAATAAGCGTAAAATAAAACAAAAAGCAGCAGTCATGACTCGCTTTCCGAATCCGGCGATGGGGGTCGCCCTAATGGTTTAAAGCTCCCAGGAAGCACCCAAGAGTATCCATACTTAACCCCCTCTTCACTATTCTGGGCAAGCATTGTGCTTTTAGCCGGATCGTGCACCTCAGGGTTGTAAGGTTCAAATATTAGATAGTGTTTGTCCTCGACTGGGGGCTCATCATAAATTTTCTCCTGGCTGGATTTGACAATCTCCTTCACTTTGTTCTTAAAGGCTTCTTGGTTGTTGGCAAATCTGGAAGTTAGGTTACTTTAGGGTTTCGAAAGACAGCAATCTTACAAATCGGCAGCTTCTTGATTGACAGCATGGGCAATGCTAGGGCCCACGTTGTAAAATATCCAATGGATATATTTTAACACTTGCCAGATATGTTGGTCTGCTTTGTTCCAAGTGGGGAACGCCTTCAAAAGGTGTACTTCGTTAGTGTCTGGATGTACTACAGGATGGAACATTTCTGACAAAAACACGACTTTCTACAGGAAAAATAATGTGGTTAGTGAGTAGATGAATGGGAAGTAAACCTACAGGATGTTCACTATCAGGGAAATTCTCGTCTAGAACTATATTAAAACGAAAAACACCGTCTTCGTAAGGACCACTTCGGATAAAAACAACACCAAACCATACTTGAAATGACAATAAAGAGTAACAAGGTATGGAGGTATTGATTACTCACTGAAAGGATTTTCTCTGGACGGAATTACGTAGACACCTTGAATATTTTCGCTTTGAATCATTTTGCTAAAAACACAGTTTTGAACTTAGTTTTTACAAAATCAATAATAATTACTATTCAGCCAATATGATATATTCCTGATGAAAGTTTTTATATAATTTATTGAGGTCCTCATTTTGACGCCCAAATAAATTCTCTTTAGGTTCGATGGATATGACTTTTCTAATTGAGCCTTGCCGTATAAAAGTATCCGAAGCATCAGACTAGAATAAGAAAAGTTGTAAAAGTTATTGTAACCTTATTTTTGGGAATGTCACCTTGGACGATCTAACGGCGCTGTACATGATTATTCATTCACCTAAAATTATCATTGCGTGTATAAACATTATTGAATTATTGTAATGTGCTGATAAGAACTGCGAAAGGCCTATTATTACAAAAAAAATTATGAGATCAGATAAAAAATAAACCAAACATGTCACTTGAGACTTGACAGCTCAAAAGATAGCAATCAATACCAACCATGGAACACGGAAGTGGTATCGTGATAAAACTTAAAGCCCTATCTAGTTTTAAGAATATAAGCTCTCGAGAATTCCTCTAACATCGAAAACAGCTTATGAGATATATAAATTATAAATTTAAATCTGGCAGGCAATTTAAGATACACCAACATTGTTAACAAGAATAAATAATTAATTAATTATTTAATTTTTCTCAGAATTAATCCAGTTGAGTTTTAAAGGGTGTGGTAAAGAACAAGTTGAAAAACTTTCCCGATGATAGTCGGATTACATGTCTTTTATACAAGTAGCTATCTATTTATGTCTATAGAACAAGTTTTTCTTATCAAAATTTAAATTTGCACCACCATCATCAGCTATCCCAAAATATATACTACAGCTTATTATTAATTTTTTTCTTTTTTTAAGAATACTTTGGCATTATCTCGTTGCAGAAACACTTTGAAGGAACCTGTACCTATTTATCAGCTTACTTATATTACCTAATCGAAAAAATTTAGGTACTTATATGAATATTTAGGAAAACTGTTTGTATTTTTAAAACAGAAATTGCTGATTTTTATATCGTTAATCATCAGTGATTAAAGTACTATGAGGGCAAATGTAACAAGTTTCAAAAAAAATTATATTTGCTAAAGACACTTTTCTATTTCTATATTTTTGGACTTTCATTAGTTTTTTTTAATATCAAAACGCACCCACTTCAAAATATCAATTGATAATAGGTAACAGTACTGATTCTATTTACCAATTTACCATATATCATATTTTTTATCTTATCAATTAATTCAATTCAAGTATGTATTAAAGATAAAGAGTAAAACGTCCATATTGTAATCTGTCAATCACAATCTCAAAGCTACATTTTCTGAGAACATGTTTTTTCGCGATAATTCAGTGTTCAAGTTAATCAAGATAAGTTTGAAAAAAATGTTCAAACAATAAAATTAAAAAAAATTAATCGTACGAAAGTGTAGAAGAATCACCAAATTCTTCTACCTATAATTTTACTTGTTTAGTAAAACAATAAAACATATGCAGCTGTAGTTGAGCGCAGCAGTATTGTCATTATTATTATTAAACATATGATTTTTTCGCTCGATCATTTGACTTTTACACTTACCAACAGAAATAAATAGAGTGAAAGTGCAAACTTTAAACCCTCATAACTTCGAAATTTTTATAGATAGAATTTTTTTAACATTTTTTCCATGTTCCTGGTATCTTACCTTATATGGCATTTTTCTCTGGGGCGCAAGTTCTGGCGGACCCTATATTTTATGACAATAATAATCTACAAAACATATGTACTAAGACAATAACCGTATTCTCCAGATGCAACACTAATCAGTGGTAATCACTGTGACAAATTTTTATTGATTTGGCAGAAATTAGTGCGACTTAGGTAATTGTTATAAAAATGAGACAAAAAATAAATTTTTTCACTAGAATTTGCAGGTATTAAGTTAGTATATTAGTAAAATTAATTACAGTTTATGATAATTTGACTAAAAATGCCTTACCGCATTTTCACAAGTAAAGACGTTATTTGATAGCGTTATCAAATAACGTATTTCCTTGTGAAAATGTCCCCCCATCTTTATAAGATTAATTACCTACATTAAACTAAGTAAAATTTATATAAGACTATTTCATTCTCGTCTGCGACTCGAGGTTTTTCTCACAATGTCTCTCGATAAATTGCTATACAACAAACTCTCGTAAAATCTGAAAATTTTGCCGTCAAAATTTTATCACTTATGATATTACTATACAGAAAAAATGTACATGTTTAAAAGTGAGCAGTTTAGGTAATTGAATTTTCTATTGATTTCTAAAAATCATTCTAAAAATATTTCAAGTGTCAAATATCTTCTACATCTCAAACTGATATCAGTGATATCTGATAGAACGTAATAACTAAAACATAATACACGAGGAATGTGTAATTAAACTTTCTATTCTTAAAATGAAAGTTTACAGTACATGAAATTTATTATAAAAAAAAATACTAAGTAAATTTGCAACAAAACTAGATATGCTAAGTCAACAAGACTAATCCCTGATGTACCAAACTTAATTGTTACAACTTAAAGCAAATACTAAAAACAAACACAAAATTTCACAAAAACTGACAATCACTCCTTAAGATTCATTTGCCCACAATGGACCAACCTGAACATACAACTATGATCGCACCCACATTTTCCTGGTACGACTACCTAATCTTTTCGGGAATGCTCACGGTCAGTGTAATAATCGGAATTTATTTCGGATGTTTCGGTAGTAAGCAATCGACAGCAAACGAATATTTGATGGGAAGCAAAAAAATGCACGTTTTCCCCATCGCTATGTCTCTGGTAGCCAGGTAACTTTACCCAAAATTTAATTAAATAGTAATAATGCGCTAATTGCAGCCACATTTCGGGAGTAACTTTACTGGGAGTTCCTGCCGATGTTTATAAATTTGGAGCCGCATATTGGCTGTGCGTTTTTGCTCTAATAATAGTGTCCTTTGTTACTATTTTTGTTTATTTACCCGTCCTTTACCAAGCGCAAATTACCAGTGTGTATGAGTATTTGGAAAAGCGTTTTGATCAGAAAACTAGAGTTTTTTCATCGTTTCTTTTTGCTGTGTCTCAGATTTTGTTTCTGCCGGTTGTGATCTACATTCCTGCACTTGCCTTTGCCGCAGGTTATTATCTCCAAATTAAAATTCATTATTAGAATTTTATTGTAGCTACCGGAATTAATCTCCATTTGGTAACACCGGTAATCTGCGCTGTGTGTATTTTTTATACCACCATAGGGGGCTTGAAGGCAGTCGTCTGGACTGACACCTTACAATTCACTGTAACTTTAGGTGCTGTTACCACAGTTCTAGTCCTTGGGATTAAAGCAACAGGAGGTTTTAGTAACGTTTGGCAGAAAGCAGTAGACGGAAAACGACTCGACTTTTTTGAGTAAGTCTTTGAAAATTTAAAATTCGATTTAAAATATTGATAAAACTTATTGTTCGTAGTTTTGAGTTTGATGTTACCAGAAGTGATAATTTTTGGGCCGCCTTTATTGGACTCACTTTTTTATGGATTTCTCAAACTAACACTAGTCAAAGCTGTGTCCAAAAACTGCTCTCAGTGCCAACTTTAAAAGACGCAAAATTGTAATTATTCGCTTTCACTTTCCTTACAAAATAAACAACAATTTTAGTGCAACTATCTATTACGGAATTGGGATGATTTTAGTAAAAACCGCTTCAGTGCTTATAGGTCTTGTAATTTACGCCCGATATTCCATTTGCGACCCTTTTGAAACTCATAAAATTATTAGAAAGGACCAACTTTTGCCCTTCTACGTCCTCGACGTTGCAGGAAAGGTTCCAGGTTTGTCGGGGCTGTTCATAGCAGGAGTGTTCAGTGCCGGCTTGAGCACACTTTCAGCTCATTTGAATTGTTTATCAGGGACAATTTATGAGGATTTTGTTAGTAAATTAATCCCCAAAGATATAACAGAACGCACAAAAAGCAATATTCTTAAGTTAATTGTGGTAATCTGTGGGGCCATTTGTACACTTTTAGTGTTTCTTTTTGAGCGTTTGGGAGGAATTTTACCATTGGTTATATCCTTCCAAGGGCTAACCGGAGGACCTTTGCTTGGAATGTTTACTTTAGGAATTTTATCCCGAAGAGCTAACAGCAAGGGAGCGTTCTATGGAGGAATTTTTGGGATAACAGGACTGGCGTGTCTTGTTATTCCAGCTAAGTATTTGCAAAGCCAAGGAATGATGCACATTCCTGCTAAACCTATTTCAACTGATGGGTGCAACTTTAATTTTACTAAAATCTATTCGTACGATTTAAATAAGTGTGAGAAATTTAATTTGATATTTTTTTCTCCAGGAATCAAACGATTGAAAATGATGGACTTTTGAAACTTTTCAAAATATCGTACTATTATTACACCCTTTTAGGATTTTTTTTCACTATGATTTTTGGTTTAATTGTATCGTATTGTACAAAAGAAGATGAGAGAACTCTACACGAAAACCTCCTAAGTCCTGTAATTCAAAGAAAAGGAGTGCGGAATGAAAATAATTATAATACTGTTGAAAACGCATTAAATTTAGTTACGTATAACTCTGACAAATTGTAAAGTAATTAATTCTAAATATATTCATTTTATTGAACAAAACATTAAAAGTTCTTCTACACCAATTTCATTATATGACAATTTATAGCATTTATAGCTTAGGGCTCGTAGGCTCAAATATCATCTTCGTGAATAATGGGTAGCATAATAGTTAAGTAATAAAAATTAAAAATTTCGATAATTTCAAAATAGATAAAATAATTATTTTGACATAAATTTAAATAGTATATTAAAAAACAAGTTTTACAAAAACTCTTATGGTGATGCGAGTGTTATAAATGCACAAGTATCACAATGAGAGGTTGTAACACGCGTTTCTTATACTATTTTTTCTATTAGCGCTTTTAAAATTGAAATTATTATTATATTTGTCAGATAAAATTTTTGACATTTGCGGTACCAAATTGCTCGAAAATAGGTTAAACTGCATTATTTTCGGTGAAATACGTTGAACTGCAACAATTTATCACTTAAAAACGACAGTCTATGACCAGTGATGGCCAAAGTATTTCATAAAATGTCGCCAGATAGCAGTGTCACAAAGTTGCATTTATTTATAACATGCAACTCAGTTACACAAAATGCTCATTGTGACACGAAATAGAGAAAAGTTATTTTGGTTCCAAATAACTGTCTCATATTTATTTTGCATACATTACATATGTATATGAAATTTGTCAAAATAATCTTTACAATTTAATAAAAATGTTATAAATAAAAGTGATTTAACTTTTCAATCGAGTAGATTGACTATTGAGATTTGTATCATGAAAAACAAAACCTCAAATTTATCATTTTATTAACAATATTACTGATTAGATTAAAAGATATACTTTGACTCTTCGCAGTTTTGACGCAGTTTAATGCTGTAGAGTGATCTAGAAAAAAGTGTGGTAATTTTTCGATGCAATGAAGTATAAGATTTTAACAATTATTATTACGTTTATTACCTCTGAATGTTTATCTCAATCGAGTAAGTTGATTAATTTTTAATTATTTAAAACAATTTCTGAAGTGAGTCATTAAATGTAATTATTTTCTAACTAAAAATCAACAAGCCGGGTAAAAAATGTCTACGACTAGTTCAGTAAAAAAGTACTTTCCAGACGCAAAATTATTAAAGAAATGCATGCTTTACAAGTCAGGCACATGAAAACATATTTAAAATGCACTGCCTTTTAAACAAACTTATTTTAGCATTTAAATCAGCGATCTTAACAGGTAGTTTAAGATTAGATAAATCCGGTTATTAATTCAATTTTATTGAAAATATCTGAAGTTACAGATGTTCTATTTTATTGAAGATAGTTTATTAATTTATGACGTATTTTGCAAAATTAATTTATTATCATTAGGTATACAAGGTGTTAAAAAAATATTGTAAAATATCTCAGCAGGTAATAATATGGACCAAAACAAACAAAAAAGTCTTAATAAACATGGGTCCGCAAAGTAACAGTTTCGGAAATATCGAAGATTATTCGTTTTTTGAAACATTTATTTGCAATCTGTTCAAACAAAAAAAGAGAAGCTTCTAGTAAAAATTGTAAAAATTTTTACATTCGATATCTCCGAAACCGTTACTTTGGAGACCCATATTTATTATGACTTTTTTGTTTATTTTGACCCATACTATTATCTCCTTAAAGATTTTACAATCTTTTTAACACCCTGTTTGTAAAACCTGTATGCATTTGTCTCTGTATGTGATAAAATTGAAAATGAAAAGATAAATATGATTAGACTGTACTTGCCATATGAAATTTTCTCGATCAATTTTATCTCGTTGATTAGATAGTTATTTCATGGCTAACATAAGACTCTTCACCTTGAAAAAGAACAATTTCAAGATCATTATCATCTAACTAAAATTTTGAATTGTGTATTGTATGTTTGTTAGTAAAATAATTTCTTAATTTTTTCAGCCTCACCATGTCAAAGTCAGTTTGAAAATACCACGGAAATTGATTGGGCCGTCGGTCTGATAAAACACACTCAAAATGACAATGAAATTGTAAATGTATCTTTTGCTTATAATGGGAGCTTAAGTATTTTTTCTAGTTATTTTCTTAAAGCAAACAAAATGATATTTTTTTCTTATAGCAACAGAAGCAGGTGACCCTAATGAATTTAGTGCAAGATACATAGACATAGTGACAGACAACAACCAACTCATTTTTAGAAGTAACGAAAACTGGACAAAACTAGAAGAAGATCTAGACATTAGGTCAAAAATTCAAGGCAATCAAATAACATTTAGCCGACAAGTAAAACTAATTTGTGATAATAATGAGACGAAGACTTTGGTAAAAAAAAACAGTTTTGAAAATTTTATAAAATTTTATAACTAACTATATTTTAAGCAATTTATTATATACGTCATTGACACAAATAACCACGATCCAACTTTTGATAAACAATCGTACAGTTATAAAATGCCTATGCCTTTGATTCCAAATATCGATTTAACAGGATTCGGCGACGATATAATAGTTACAGATTATGATTTTACCAATAAAAATGTAACATTTAGCATTGATGATAAGGATTTTGAAGTTACAACAAAGCACAACCCGGATTCCAATACTTACCAAGCAGTTCTGAAAGTTAAAAATTACAAATATCTTTCAAGCGACACGACAACACTATCTCTCAACTCAACTGTAAGTATAGATTTACATTTTAACTAAAAAATTATTTAGTGACTTAGGATTCAGGAGAGCCGTCACGATCACAAACATCTCAAATTCAAATAAAAATTGATGAAAGCAATAGTTTACCAGATATTCCAACTGTACCGGAAGCTTCATATCAATTTCAGTACTCGATTGAGAATAATAAGCCTGTATTGAAACCACTTCACACAAATCAGGATATAAAAGTAACCGCCAGTGACCCTACTAAAATTAAAGTAAAACTAGAAGGTAAATAAAAAACAATTGTATAATTCCTTTTTAAACAATTACTACTTAGGAAATGACCATTTTTCCGCCGAATTTAATGAGGCTAAACAAACAGTGACAATAAAAACAACTGAAGAAGTCATAGAAAATACACCAAATCCTGTATTGGTTTTAACACTCGTAGTAACACTCAACGGTAAAGAAGAAGATAGCAGCAAAACCGCGATTCTGGTAAACCTCCCAAAAGACAAAATTATTACAATACCACAATTCGATAAACCATATTACAAGGCACAGTATAAAGTCAATGCAGAAGATAAAGATACTGTGGAGCTTGAATCAGACATTACTGTTTCTGAAGATGCAGAGGTCGCACTGGAAGGTGGTAAGTACCCGCTTTCGTGCGACTTGCTTTTTGCTTCTTTTTGTTAGGACGCTTTTTGTGTTTTTCGCAGATGAAACACACTTTAACATAAGTAAAAGTGATGATAATAAGTGGCAAGTGACTGTGATAAGCGATTTGGATAGTGGTGACTTCAAAGAAAAAGATATTCCTTTAACGCTGCATGCCACAGTTAAAGACGCAAAAGGAACAACGTACGACGGTTATGCTACTTTGCTTGTTACTCTTCCTGAAGTTGAAGAAGCACCGCGATTTACCAAACCTTACTACACGGCAACGTACAAGGTCAACGATGGTGATACGCTTGATCAGTTGACAGTGGATGGCGACATAGCATTGATTTTACCAAGCGATGATGTTAAAGTTGAATTAGTTGACAGTGAGTAGAAAAACACGTACACAACATACACAACCAACACACAACATGACACACTCATCATTCCACACTATCAATCATTTTACTAAAAATTCACAGATCAAGAATATTTCAATTTAATTTGTGATCCAACTTCTGGAAAATGTGCGATAGAAGTTAAGGTTGATTTAGGACATGATATTTTGGAAAAAGGAGGCGACTTGATTGTGAATTTCAAAGCCACATTAAATGGTGTTGAGGAACCGAGTGCCTTGGTTATAACATTACCAGAAGTTGTAGAAGTAAAATTTATGAATTCGAATTATGTCAGTACATACAATATTACCGGCGAAAAAGCTACAGTTGACATAACGGAGTTTCCAATCACGATAACTCCTACGGATAAAAACATCACTGTTAGTTTCAATGAAGGTGAGTTGGAAACACGGGAAACACGCACAATACAAGTAAAACACAAGACACAAATACGCTAATTTTTGTGTTTTACAGTGAATAACAATTTTGAAATTGTGGCATCGGATTCTAGTAAGGGGCAATATACCATCAATGTTAAACAGCCTTTAAATGATATAGATTTAGTTAAACGGGAACCTAAAGTTTTAACTTTGCAAGCAAACATTCCCGGTTGGCGAAATAAGGCAACAAGTACTTTAATTATCAAATTACCAGACGTTAGCCCGAAATTTAACAAACCTTATTACGAGGCCATTTACAAGGTTGATAATAAGGGAGTTGCTAATGTTACACTGTCTGAAAAAATAACACTGACTTCAACAGTAAACTCTAAAATCAGTTTAATTGGCTGTAAGTTGAGGAACATTACCAAAACAAACAAAAAATTAAAATGCCCTTCTAGCGTATGTGGACAATTTCTCTTTTGATGTCGACAAAAACCCTCAAATTACTGTTAAGAAGAACCTAGACGAAAAAATTGTAAACGCCAATCAACAAATATTGCTGACATTGCAAGTAACTCCTGGTGGTTCTGAGGATCAAGAGACGACAATTATTGCACTAAAATTGCCCTACGATGGAACAACAAAAACACTGAAATTTGAGCAACCTGCATATGTTTTCTCGTATAAAACTGATAAAGCCGACCCTTATATTGACAATGGGGGGCAAAGTATAAGTCTTGTCAGTGCTGAATCTAATGTCAATATTAACATTACTGGAAGTAAGTAGGAAAAAATTTGATGGGAAATCAATGGAAATCAATACAATTGTCAATTTATAGCCTATAGTGAAAATTTTGAAATAAAGAGCGAGAATAACAAAATCAGTCTTAACATCAAAAAGCCGTTAGATCAAACTGTTCTTGACACTCAACCGGATATCCTCTTTGTCCTGGATGCAAATCTGGATAAGTTTGAGGATGGTTTTACCACGGTTTTACTTCATCTCCCTGCAAAAAATTCTACAAGTGAACTAAAATTCGTCGAACCTGTCTTCACAGCCATATACGAGTTAGGAAAAGAAGAAAATAACAGAACAGCTAATGTGACAATCGTAGGAAACGGGATAAGTCTGGAAGGTGGAACTACTGAAGCAACCATTGAACTAACCGGAAGTAAATCATTTCTCATGACACATTCCACCCATCACACACAAGACACACTTGTATCGTACTTGCGCGAGTCTAACAAAAACTTTTGCAGCAAATAGCGAACATTTTGACGTTTCAAAAAATAGCACCGGAACTGGATACGACCTGACTTTAGTTTCAAATTTGGATGATTCAATTTTGATAACCGAAGCTGATGTCGTGTTAACGTTAAAAGCAACGCTTGGTGATCAAGTTGGAGAGGCTACTTTGGTGGTAAAACTGCCCAAAAAGACAGCACCGGCTTCGTTTAAAAAACCTTACTATGAGGCTGAGTACAAGATGGAGACTGATCCACATACCATTGACATTGACCCGATTGAACTTGAAGGTGATTATTTAGACGACACTAAAGTTACTTTGCAAGTGGATGATGATGGTAAGAAATTTCTCCTCTAGCCCAGTATTTGACTAAAGAATTTCAGAACTAAAGGATAATTTTGAGATTAATACGGCAAGTCCATATATAATTAGTTTAAAAAACAATTTGGATGATGCAATTTTAAAAACAAAACACGAAGTTGTTCTTACTCTTGTTGCAACTCTTGATGAAATTTCAACAACAACATCTTCCGTGATCGTTAAGATCCCAGATTTACCAACGCCTCCAAATTTTAAAAAAATTGTTTACAAAGGCAAATATGACAGTGATAACAACATTGTAAAACTTGATGATAATATCGAAACCGATGCAAAAGATCCTGCTGTTGTGAAGATCACAGTAGAAGACCGTAAGCAACCAATCACGCTTCAAAGTCATTCTTGACAATTTTTTTTAGCATACGCTTCAAACTTTACTGTTGTATACGACGATAAGAACAAAGAATTTACAGTTAATGTGATAGATTCTCTTGATAACGCCACTGTAACTAATAACGACGAAATCTATGTGGTTTTCGATGCCACAGTTGACCGTGCTGTAACTCACACTTCGGCAACTTTGGTCCTCAAAATGCCTACAACACTGACTCAAATCGTTCCCACATTTTCGGAAACATATTACAAAGCTCATTACTCACTCGATGATACTGTCACTATCACAAAACCAATCACTATCACTAGCGACAAAGCCAGTGAGACGCAAGTTAAAGTAATAGGTGGTGAGTTATTGTTGGTAATGTTTCAGCGGAAATTGCAAGGATATTTTAGATTTCAGCAACAATTTTGAAACAAAGTTTGAGGATAATAGTTGGCAATTGAATGTGAAAAATAAATTAGAAGATTCTTACAAAGACGAAATTATTGTAACACTTGAAGCGTCCTTGGAAGGCAATGAAATTACAACAACTACTACTTTAATTATGGATCTTCCTGATCGCGGATTGAAAGCAAGTCCCAAATTTACAAAACCTCTCTACGAGAATGAATATGTGAGCGATGAGACGCCTACTGTTAATATCACTGATCCAATCACACTCAAAGACGGTTTTGAAGACGCGAATGTAAATGTTGATGCGGCTTATCAGAAATACTTCAAACTTACGCAAAATAAAAACAATAGGAATCAATGGGATATTAGCTTAGATAATCCTTTAAGTGAAGAGATTCTTAAAAACAACACAGAACTTGTTGTAACTTTGACGGCCAATTTGGAAAATTCTGAAGGTCCTGAGTATGCGACACTAGTTGTCAAACTTCCTTCGCAGTCAGTAGAAACTATTACATTTGATAAGACCTACTACTCGGCCATTTACACTGTTGTTGATGGGGGAAATGATACTGTAAATTCTTCTGAAATTATTGTAAGTGATGACGGCGCTACAGTCACTGTGATTGAAGGTCAGTTCGAGTTACAAAAGCTGCTTGCTATAGTTTTGATAAAATGTGTAACTTGCTTGTAACACTAATTTTTTTTCAGGATACGCTAAAAACTTTAATGTAAATTGTAAAGACAGAAAATGTGTCTTGACAGTAAAAGAAAACCTTCATGATGCTGATTTAAAAACGAAAAACGAAGTTATTGTAGTACTACAAGCCACCAAATCAGGAGATATTGCTGACAAAGCAACAGCACCGGTTATTGTAAGTTTGCCCCTACAAGACTCTATCGAAGCTCCGAAATTTGAAAAACCTGTCTACACGGTTGACTATGATAAAGAAACTAACAAAATATCAGATAATTCAATCAAGTTTGAAGGAGCCGATACTAAAGATATAACCGTGGCAATAGACCCTTCATCAGGTACTACTTCAAAAGAATCATCAAACATTTTTTGATTGAAAAATTTCAGCATATAAAGATAATTTCAAGGTGACTCTTAAAACCGACCATTGGGAAGTTGAAGTCGATAAAAAATTAGATGTTAGCAAAAAAGCTTCGATTTCTTTTATTTTGCAAGCTACAAAAAAAGACGTTAAAACTCCAGGGGAAGCGGTCTTTATTGTGAATCTTCCAAAGAATGAAGGTGTTTGTCGTGTTTACAAAAGTAAAAATAAATAATTGTTGGGTGTTGTAGATACTTCAGATTTGGAATTCAGTCAAGTGACTTACACGGGTACCTACAATGTTAAGGATGACATCGATGAGGTTGTTTTGGAGCAAAACATCGAAATTAAAGGAATCAGTGATACAAATCAAGCAGACTTTAGTGTAGAACCAGGTAAGCATTTTTGTATTCATAAAAAAGGAAAAACTGGAATAAAAATTGAGTCTCTAGATTTGGTATTCAGAAAGAAATTTTACTATGAAAGCTATGAAAAAAACCTCACTAAATTGGAACAAACTTTCTATAAAGTCATTCTTTGATAATGTTTTCAACATTTCACGCGCTTTATTAACATTAGTTTTCGTGCAGCAAGCAGCACAGTTTTTTTGTAAAAAATTTAAACAGTTTTCTTCTGGAAGCATCTTTATTTTTCTAATAGGTAGTACCGTGCGATCAAAAAAAAAATAAAATTAGAGTAGGCGTCGATGAAATTCTACAGTTGGCAATACATTGGCTGGGAATCTGGACTGGAAATTTTTCACACAAACTGAAAGTGAAAATGCCCATTCACCGTTTTCGTCTTGTACAGCAATAAAAGTTTTCTGCTTTAAAGTCACTTTTTCATTTGAAATGAATAAAACGCAAACTTGTCAAAGTTTCCGCTGACATTTGATGGCAAAAATTAGGATTGCCATCTGAAGGACTTTAATCACCGCCTTTATAGTATGTCTTGTCAATATACAGCCACCATTCGTTTATAGATAATTAAAAAACGTTGCCTTCTTATATAATCATCTTGGTGGACTATTTTTGTTTCCCTTATTTTTCGCAAACTACCTACTCGTATATTATTGTTTGCAGAATTGCAATAAATAGAATAATTTACATAAAACTTTGTCTCTGAACTCACAAATATTTCAAATTTCTAATAAATAAAAACTATTATTGTTTATATTTTGTTTCAAAACTAGGTAAATTCTTTCTGAATTATTCTCTTAAATGCCAAACTTACTGATGGAAATGTTTAAAAAGTCTACTCTCTATGCCAAAATTATTACAAAAATGTAACTTCACCTATAATATTTTTAGGAGATTATATAGATAATTTCGAAGTAAATGCAGACACAGATCATTGGATAATATCTGTCAAGAAGGATCTTAAATCTGATATTTTGGATAGTGAAACTTCAATTATTTTAACGTTGAAAGCTACAGTAGCAGAAACTTCAAGTACTGGAGAAGTTGGAGTTGTAATTAACCTTCCAAAGAAATATACCCCAACATCGTTTTACTTTGAAAAGACCTCATACACTGCTGAGTATGAAATAGAAAATGATAAACCTAAATTAAATGTAGACAGTGACATTATAATTAAAAATTTATCAGATAGTGTTGGAGTAAAACTGACGGGAGGTTTGTTGCATAATTCACATTAACTTTTGTTTATTTAAGTTTTTACAGACTATTCCAAATATTTCGATTCTTCTTATTCTGAAGACAAAGTTACAATAACTTTATCTTCAACTGCACTGAACAGTGACGTTGTAGAAAAAGAATCAGCAATTTCGGTCACAATTGAAGCAACAAATGATAATAAGGAAGTCGCCAGAGCGGTTTTGGTTGTCAAACTACCAAAAGAGACAAGTAGGTATTAATTTTTTTAATTAGTTATTATATCACATAAATAAATTTCAGGCAAAAATGATAGCGACGACCAGACTGGCCTTATTGCAGCAGTTGCCGTGTTGGCCGTTTTGCTGGTCGCATCTCTCGTAGGAAGTGCCGTTTTCTATTATTTCAAATTCAAGTAAAAATTTCGAAAAATTTAAAAAACCAAAATTAATGTTATTTTACAGGACTGCAAAAAATTACAGTAATATGAGTGACAGTCCGCGTCCTTCTGAACGGTTTAGGAAAAACAGCACCGGTCTTGACACGTAAGTAAAATTCAAATTGCCTCACACACCACACTATACACTAAACCATTCTGAACACAAAAAAATAATAAATTGCTTTAAACTTTAAACTAATTGTTTGTGTTGAAATTTTCAGGAGAGGACAGTATGCGTATTAGTATAGTATAATAATTTCGATTATTTTTGTGATCAGAATATAAATAAACTGTGTTCGATTTATTACTGGCTTTTTTTACCCTTGTTATTACAGAAAACATAAATTTGAACATGCGACGAGACGACCAACGGGTGTTATTAAATACCCTCTCAAAGACGATGAGAGCACTGATACTGATGCTGTGGAAGCGCCAAGTGAGAAAAGAAAATCCGTGCAGTTTGATGTTATACACATCGATGAGTTGGAAATAGAACCCGAAAAAACCGACGATGAGGATAACGAAAATACTTATGAAAATGTTGATAGTGATAGTGACCATAGACGAAACTCGGAAGCCTAATCTGAATGATATTACTAGCATTTGCTTATTTTTTAAATCTGATATTTACCTATACATAATTAACTACAAATAAAGTTTTAATATATAATAATGCCAATAATGGGGTGGTTGTATGTCAAAATAAACTTCAAATATAATTGTAACGCCCAAAATTTTAGCATTTGAAAAATTTAAATAACAAAAATAAGCCCACATTAAAAAAAACAAAAAAACACTTATTTCAATATTCACATTTCCTGTGGGTTATGTTATCTAACAGAATATTTACACAAGTATGTATGTACAGGGTGCTGCATTTTGGATGTCCGAATAGGGAATCTCCGAAACTAAGAGGTTTAGCCAAAAACGAGTGATACATTCTGGGGCTCATTTTTTTAGAAAATAATATTGGTTAAAACCGCATCCCGCTATTCTCTTTTGTTTTCGACTTACAGACAAAAGTTGACATTTTGGCGAAATCTAAAAAATTTATATCTTCGTTATTATAGAAGATACGGATTTGAAATAAAGACATTATACAGGCACTTTTTTACGTATAATTTAATAATGTAGTTAACATTTTTTTTCAGTTGTTTGTTTAGCCGTAATAAAATAAACTTGTATTTTTTTAAATGGAAATCATAGGCGGCTATAGCAATTTTGAAAAGCTTATTTTTTTCTGATCTAAAAAATATATATTTGCAACAAAATATTTTTTATAACTATACTTAAAAAGTGAAATACATATTTTGTGCGATAATAGTTGGCCATGGAAAAACTATTTCACTCCAAATGTGTAAATAATAATCAATAAGAGTTTTGTGAACTGAAAAATAGATGAAAAAATAGATAAAATTGTAAAGATTTAGAAAATACGATACGGTAGAAGCATTGAACAAATATCCGAGCGCCTCAGAACAAAATTATTACATATTTTTAAAAAATCAAAAAATAGGAAAAACAAATGTGTCAACAGACAACACAATTAGAAAAACATTTTTTTGATGATCTAATGGAGGTATGATAACGCTTCACATAGACGGAATTTGGGTATTTGAATAGCCATATCGTCATTTTTGTGTCATATAAAATATATTTTATTGAAGAATTAAAGTGGCTTTTTTTAACAACACTCTATGTATCACTAGAAGTTGCCAATAAGTTGTTTTTGCATCTTTTTCATCACTTAGTACTTAGAAAACTCTTTCATTAGTGACACTGGTTGAATATAATATAGTGTAAATCCTTTTAGTTGAAGATGCAACATTTTTTCATGGCCAACTGCGAACAAAAATCAAAGATAATTTTTTGCTAAAAATGTATTATAATAATTTGTTACAAATATATATTTTTTAGATAAGAAAAAACCAAGCTTTTCTTTTTAAAAATGACATACCCATCTATTATTCTCATTTAAAAAAAATACAAGTATATTTTATTACGGCTAAACAAACAACTGAAAAAAATTGTTAACTACATTATTAAATTCTACGTAAAAAAGTGCCTGTATTAATGTCTTTATTTCAAATCTGTGTCTTCTATAATAACGAAGATATGAATTTTTTTAGATTTCGCTAAAATGTCAATTTTTGTCTATAAGTAGAAAACAAAAGACGATAGCGGGATGCAGTTTTAACCAATATTATTTTCTCAAAAAATGAGCCCCAGAATGTATTACTCGTTTTTGGATAAACCTCTTAGTTTTGGAGATTCCCTATTCGGACATCCAAAATGCAGCACCCTGTACATAAGGTTCATACAAAGCAATAACTATGTTAATTATTATTCTAACATAAAATAGTATATTAAAGTACAAGTTGCAGCACAAATTTGAAATTCTGAAACGAGCCGCGAAGCGGCGAGTTGAGGAACAAATGAGTGATTGAAGAACCTTCTGCAACAAGTGCTTTATACCATTTTTTCTATTTCGCCGCTTTATATCATTTTATAAATTAAAAAACGAAAATAATTTTTTTTCTAGAGAATTTTGCGACGGTTGGCGACATTTATGTGTGGAATAAATTTAGGCGGCTGTAAAAAATAAATATTCTTATTTTTACATTTGGAAATGAATTGTGAAGAAAGTCCGTCACTAAAATTAAATTACCGCGAACGACTTATTCCAGCACGCAAATGACGTCATTTGGGTGCTGGAATCTTCGAGCTGGAATAGACTTATTCTAACACCGAAATAGAAAAATGATGTTTAACAAAATTAAAATAAAATAGGTGACCAACAATACACTATTCGGCTTAATTCTGAATCACTTTGTCCAAATATCTTTTTATGACTAGATCGTCTTTAACCAATGATTAGGATAGCAAACATTTTAAAGCTTGTTTTAAAGTCTATGTTTGCGTCAATGATTCTCTTAACTTCAAATAAAAACGCCTGATCGTATGTAAGTACTCGTATGTATGTAACGTGTATACATATGCATATAAAAGTAAACGAAAGTTTTCTTTGAATAAATCTTGAGTGCTTATATTGTACTCGCAGCAATTTTAAGTAAGCGATTACTATGTCAGATAGGTATACCAACAAACCAAATTATCTCTTATCAAATTGATAATTAAAATCGTCAAACTGATAAGGTAAAACAGCACAGCCTTAATTCAATTAACAACCCGAGTTAACAAATGCGCGGGTTCAATTGTGTCCTTTTCAATTACTCGGCCTCATCCTAAATTGTTTACGATTGTGCACTTATTTAACACTCGACATCATGTGTTTAGCATTCCAGTGAACGAACGAAAATGGAGCAGAGACTAAGCAACTTTCGAAGTCTCTTCAAATCATCTCCAGCTCCCCAAAGCGACCCCTGCGAGCCCGAAATCGGCTTCAAACTCACTTTTTCGAAAACGTCCAAACAGCTAAAAGTCAAAGTGTTGAGTGCGAGACACCTTCCTGCGAATTACGGCACGATTAAACCCCGCGGATACTCAGTCAAGGTATTAAGCAAAAAATAATCGTCTTTAGATAACGCGTGCTTCCCAGATCACTGTTTTCCCGGAAAAAGAAAAATATGAAACGTCAGTTGTGAAGGAATCGTGGCCAACTTTCAACGAGGAGTTTCCCTTTACGCTGCATTCGACGTCCAAGTACTACCAGGATTACTTCAAAGGGAAGTTTATTTCGTTCACGGTGTATGCGGTTTTGGAGAATGCCACCGAGACGATGGCCAAAAAGAATCCCACCAGCAAGTTGAGAAGGTTTTTTTCTTTTAGCGAGTTTGGGGAGACTCCCAATAGGTTCAGAAGGAGCTTCAGGCATTCGCTGAATAGTCGTAGGACTGTAGGGGCTGTTACTTATAATCTAGATGCGAAAATTTTTAATCACAAGTTGGGAGATGACCTCATTTGCACTCCGGATATTTGGAGAGGGATCAAAGAGATTACTAGTGGGATTCAAACAGAACCGGTAAGTATTCCCGGGTATCTATTTGATACAACGTTGAATATAACATATCTTAAGACAAATTGTTATAAATAATTACAAATTTTGCAAATCTAGCAAAACTACTGCGAAAACATTGGAAGAAATTCAAAATTGATGCTACAGGTGTTATTTTTATTTATCGAAATACATTAAGTTCTGTTACCTGTAAACGTAATTTTTTTGTGTTACTATTTTCTACTTTTTTTAGTAAAGTTGCCAAATTAAAAAATAAATATAAAAATAAAAATAAAAATAAAATTGCCAAATTAGTGTTTTAGATCTCGACTACACATAATGAACAAAAATTTAACATTTGGAAAACAATTTTTATAAATGCATTTAACTTTTTTATGTATATCTTCTATTTTTTTAAATAGTGTTAATACTGTTAAAAATTCTTTAAATGTGTTTCAACAAAATAAAAGTTGTTGAACTAAAACTTAAATCCTTAATATTTTTTTTATTCTAAAATTGTTTTTAGTAACAATAAAAGAGAAGCAACTCAAATTGTAAGAAATTTTATTTTTACGTGATATTGTTAGTCTAATCGTAACAAAACATTTTTCATGTTCAGTATTTGCATAGGTCCATAAGTACAAACACTTACACTTATAATAAATGTAAGTTAGAAATAAAATAAATAAAAATAAAGTCCCTTAAAACCTACAGCTGAGGTTTTTTTAAAAAAAATTAGCAAAAATATCTCTCTGTAGTGCTCACACGCTTAAATTTTCCATTTTTGTTTTAATTGTTAACTCTATCTTTAGCGCGAGGGCAAGAACGGCAGCGTGGAAATGACCCTCTCTTACGCCATCAGCGAAGACCGAAAAAACGACGTGGTGGAAATTAGTATTACGAAATTCCGGTGCAGCTTACAAACCATGCAACAGCACGAGAAGCTCGGAGGCCAGCTTTACATCAAGATCACCGCTTCTGAACAAGACGACCTCATCCAAAAAATGAAAAGTGACAAATTCGAGCCGACTATCTCCCTCAAACTTGAAGCCAACACGGCCACACTGCGGGCCACAGTCAACAACGACAACTTGGAGCAAGTCAGGATTCTTGTGAGGCTCATTTGTAAGAATATTTTAGGCAAAAAAATTGTCCTGGGGAAGATCGAAATCGACAGCAACAGCGATTTGTGGAAGGAGATTGTGAGGACCCCGTCCGTGCCCATAACCAGAATGATAAACTTGGAGTGATTTCGTACTTAGGGAAAGCGAATTGAAAAGACTGTATGAGGTGCCAATGTCGAAGAATTATTTATTGTAATTTATACTCAATAAAAATTTTGAATTATGGCCGGTGTGTTTTTGAAGGTCGCGCCGCCGTGGGCCGCCTTAAAGGGAGCGAATGTGACATCCGAGGCTCTATATGTGTATAATAGCCCCATTATCTAGTATTAACAACAATACCGACGCTTTTAACGCATAAATTATTCATTTGAGTTGAATGTGTGACCCCGAACACTTTTTATCATTTCCTTAAAGAGATACTAACATCTGCTACATATTATTTAATACAAATTTTAACGATATTACGACAAATATTTATCGAAACGAGATAAACGACTTAAAATTTATTATTACAGTTCCTGATTGCGTTTACGTTAACACTTTTTATTATTGGTTTCGGAACTAAACGTGGCGTAAACAGCCGCGAAAAAATGTGATGGTCATCCGAGAAGTTGTAAATGATATTTTACGTGAAACTAAAAATTTTTATTGTGAAATAAGCGTCAGTTTTAATTTTACGAAAAGAGCTAAAGCGCGTTGCACACCGATGATCCAGACACTTCGTTTCATCACCATAAAAATAAGATAACAAGTTTCTTCTGTTCTTATTTTGTTAAAAATTCTTTTAAATGTAAGTATAAACTTTCTCAAACAAATCAAAACTAATGAACAAAAATACTTTTGTTAGTTTCGTTATACCTACTGTTTTCTTTTAAGTTATAAAGTTTAAAGGGTGAAGAATATCATTTTATCGGTCACTAAATAATTACTGCCTTTTTACTTACTAAATAAATATATACGTTCTAAAAATAATAAATCTGTAACCAAATGGTAAATTTCAACAAGCAAACTATTTCAGAAATATTATTATCTGTAAATTTATGTCATCCTTGATCAGTCATCAAATAATAAAAGTTGTGTAGATACTTCCTCAAATTTTATTACCAATTATGTACTTTAAAATTCTAATCTAGAAATTTATGAGATGAGATTGACTTGAAAATTATATGTATGTCTGGCTTAATATAAAGTTAAATAAAATACAATTTTTAAAGACACTAGTGTTATATTTATTAAAATTAAATAAAAATTACGAATATTAAATACAGAATGCGCCAGAACTCGCGCCCCAGAGAAAATTTTCAAGTAAGGTATAATATATCAGGAACATGAAAAAAATGTTTAAAAAATTCTATCTCTCAAAAAATTTTTACATTTATTTTTCGACATTTGACACTTTTTTATATCTATTTCATGATACTGATGATTTTGTATATGTTTTTTACAATTACTTAGTAAAAGGACAAAAATTTTGCCAATAAAAGCCACAAATAACATTGAACGAGTTACAATTTAGGATACAGCTTCCTTGTTTCCTCTTTTAATAGCCTATAGCAAAAAAACTTGGAAAATTATTTTTCCAACAGAAATAAATAGAGTCAAAGTGCAAACTTTAAACCCTTATAACTTCGAAATTTTTATAGATAAAATTTTTTTAACATTTTTTCCATGTTCCTGGTATTTTACTTTATATGGCATTTTTCCCTGGGGCGCGAGTTCTGGCGCACCCTGTATAAATAATGTTAAACTAAAACATATTAGTTAAAAGAAAAATGTAATTAAACAAAATGAAAATTATTGAATTCTTAATCCCCATTACATTTTTAAAAGAAAGCTTTTAAATTAAGTATCTGCAAAGTATGTTCATCACTAACTTTTTTATTTTATTAGCAACTAGAAAAAAATAACTGGAAAATAATAAAATAATAATTGGAAACATTTTGTTTTACAATGAAAGGCTTTTTACAATATTTAGTTGCATTAATTTTTACTTAAGATTTAATGTCCTGCATATTTATTAATTGCCCTTTCTCAGTTTTCGGTATTTTAAAGATATAACCCCATTTGTGTAAAAAACCTTCGGCTTTTCCAGTAAAAAAATTCCAGTAGCAAAAACGCGATTTTCAAAAATCTTCCAGCACGTGGGTCACTTTGAGGGAATTACCCGTAGTCTAATCCAATGGCGGATGATCTGAGTGTGTGTGGGGCGCTTAAGCTAGCGTATTTCAAAGATCAGGTTTCGGCGGGATTGCAACAGACTAGAAGTCAACTGACTCGGAATTAGTTTGGTTTGCTCGGTATCGAAAGCAGCCGGCTCTTGGCCAAGTCGTGCTTTTTAATACATCACGTCAAAATCACAATGAATTGCAAGGAAAAAAAATCCGCTCTATCTCCCACACAATAAATAAATTTATTTTTGTTTCCGTTTAAGTGAATGTGAATCCAGTGCCATGCAATTATTATGAACACCGAAAGTGAGATTTCCGAAATTTAAAATGCGCCTCCAGTTTTTTATTCTTCTTCTTCTTCATGTCATGTGTCTTCAGTTTTGCACTGCTGACAATAAGGTAAGTTTGTGAAAAATATCTGATTCTAATTGCACATATCGCAGTTGCACGCATTGCAATTTTTCCCAAGTGTAATAACAGAAACAGCTCTGAATATGTTATTACACGAGTCTAGCAGACATGCGATAATTGCGTACGCCACTCGCGCTTCCAGCAATTTTCAAATAATAATCTGAAAGCAAATAAATGCAATATTTTTTCAGTCCACAGGTAGCAAAGTATTTCCTTGTGCTTAAAAATAGCATTCGAATTAATTCGAAACAATTGGGATGAATGGTACATGGGTCACTGCTCCGGCAATTCATTCACGAAATTGAAATCAAACCCGCCTTTTGATGGGTTTGATTGTGTTTGATCTGGGTCAAATGCTAACAGCGTGACAATATTGCATCGATTTTGCTTGGAAAAATTGGACGCGAGGCTAATTTTAAAACGAAAAGTTACTGACCTATGATTTAAATTCGTTTGTTTGACCTTTAGTTTTGTTTGGATTAAGCCCATCTGTGTGCCATGCCGTCCCTAGTCATAAAGTTTCGAATTAATTGGACTTACAATGAGACAACTATTTTTGGACTAGGGTAAGACGATCGGTGGCAATAGCACCTTGAACCTGCTTGAACCCAGAAAGTCGAGATTAAATGCGGCTAGTTTTATGACCGTCGTCGTAAATATTAATGTAATTATTGTAATCAGATTTTTCAGTCACTTCAAATTAGTAGCTCAAGGTGTTGATGTACTTTATAAATATTTACGTAATCAAGGGGAGAAGTCAGTTTCAATGGGACACGACCCTGTCTACAATCTCGTGATGAATAGGTGTTTGTTCGAGATTATTTAATTAATTGTTGTTTTTGTCCTTACTGACCAACATTGATAAAAGTTCACATTTCAGGAATATTTTTCTATGTCAAAGTGAACAAATATTTATTTATGGTGTACGGTGTCAGAAAAAAATTAATTTATTTTATTACCTCCAAACCAATAAAAAATATTTTGTGTACAGTAATAATTCAGTTTGTCATATAAATAAATATTTTGAAATACTATACTAATGGCCCGTTTAATAAAATACGAGTAAATGTAAAGCTCATTTCATAAATTAAATTGCCTACGCTGCCGATTCGAATTAATATTAATTACCGTATTGTGTGTAATCTGGTTAACTTCTTTCTGACAACAGGAGACGATGTATAAATAATTTAGTCTTGAAATTTAAATTTAGCCGAAATAGATTTTCAAGTTTACAATAAGTGAGTATTTCAGGAAGAAAAATTTTAATGATCTCGCTATAAATAAGAGTAATTATGAAAAATTCCTTTTAAATGGTTGCTCTAATAAATCTGCTTGATACTAAAATAAAACCGAAAGCATTCATAAATTTTGATGTCAACCTGAACTCAAGGCCAAATTGAGTATTATTTTTATTTTTTAATTATTATTAAGACTAAATAAAATGAATTACATTAATAACAATTTTGTTAAATTTTCAATTAAAACACGCAAATTAAAACACACAAAAGTAGATAGATATATAGCTATCGCTCACAGAAGAATGGACAGTCGGTAAAATTTGATAAACGTTGTAATAATTGGTGCAATTTCATGGGGGCAAATAAAACAGTGCTTTTACTAAATTCTCTAATAAAAAACAACAAACTTTTATTTACAACAAAATATATAAACGAAAATTATACTAGATTTTGTTCTCATCGAAAAAACTTTTTTTTATTTTTTTACCTAGTGTCCATTCTTCTGTGAGCGGTAGTACAGTAAAAGAGGATTCGAAGCACAAAATATAATAAAACAAAACAAAACAAAACAATGAGTTCCACATTGGGTCAAGGCAATGAAATATGTATCGAGCGACCAAGATAATTTGTAATCGAATCATCTTCTGATCCGAAAACGTATGTCTGTAAAATGTCAAGTAAAATGACAAGTCGAAAGGTAAAATGGCATGATCAAAAAAGTGATAATTATAATAACTAAATTTTTAATTTACCTTAAAAAAACGGTCCTACTCGTATTATTATATGCGTCGGCGACTAATTCCAGCCCATTTTGCCGTTTTACCTTTCGACTTGTCATTTTATTTGACGTTTCACAGACATACGTTCTCGGATGTAAAGATGACTCGATTACAAATTATCTTGATCGCTCAATATGTGCCTTGTATGTAGAATAAATAAATATGATTAAAGTTACATCTGAGAAATTGGAATTGACATTTACATAAAACTAAATAATTACATACATAATACATATACATATGTAGGTAACACTTTATTTTATATTATATTAAATATAAAATGACAAGTAGTGTTTTACAAGTATAGAAAATAGTCCTTTTTTGTTTGAATTCTGTAATACATTTTTAACTTGTGATGTAACTTAATCCACATTAAAACATAGTTTTTGACAACATAATTTTGACCATCTTTATATAAATCGCTTTTATAATACTCTGGGGTCGCATTATATTTGAAATCTTAATATTTTTAAAGGGGTGGTACCTAACACTAACCAATCACGTTCAATTTAAATTTCGATTTGTTTTTACATTTTTTTTTTTGAGAACTTGAACTTCGTCTCTTCCGTTCTTTGCATTATTATTAAAATAAATAGGAGCAGTTAAAATGCGTGTTTATGCCAAACTTAAACCTGGAATAAATAAACCACCAAATCCTGAATGAGCTTTTATCCGCCCAAGCCCGGCTTTGATTATTTGTTTAGTCTAAATAAAACAAGGACTTTTTTCAATCTCTCCCATTAATTGCTCAAAAATTCGTTTGAAAGCTGTGTCAACCTAAATGTACACCAATCAAAACTACACGAAACCCAAAATAAATCCGGAAATTACTCCAATTTTCCCACACTTCCGCCTTAAACCTTGCACAACTGCAATTTAATCGATTTAACAATCGCCAAAGTGAGTCACGCAAAGCAATATTTTCAGACTCATCACGACCTCCAAAATTCCGAAACGCTCTACTCGTCTTGGTCCCCATGGAGCCGCTGCATCGAATGCATTCAGAGGAGAATCAAAAAATGTATTTCTCCCAAATGCGAGGATTCCCGAATTTACGAAGAAAAACCATGTGGGAAGAAACGATGCAAGAGGAAAGCGCGCCAGAAAAATCAATTCCGCGTCCTACAATTGAACGAAGTAGTTTCCAGTTTAACATACTGGGTTGATTTTTTTAATTGAATTTTCTCAGGATAGTAGCCATTTGTTGCGTCAAGCGCCGTCTCGCATTTGGAGCAAATGGTCGAACTGGTCGCCCTGCTCGGAGGATTGCAGGACGCAGAGGATCAGGATTTGCAGGAAGCCGGGACGTTGCAGGAAAAAACAGCAGGAGCAGACGGCGTATTGCTATCACGATAATTCGATGTGTGAAAATTACGTTTTGAACTTGTTGGATGATAAAGACAAGTATGGTATGTAAAAGTTCTGGGAGAAAATTAGTTACTGAAAATTTCTTCATGCAATGCTTAAGGTTAGGCGCACGCGTTAAAAAGCGATGGGAATATAATGCTATAAAGAAAAAAAAAAAGAAAAAAAGAGATTCTTATATTTTCACTTTAAATATTTGCAATAGTTCAATAAATAATCGTGAATAGCAAATATGAATACATAAATTAATATATTAGGCATAGTTGCATCAAACTGAAAATTATTTCCACGTAAAACATGATTTAAAAAAGCATTTATTTATAAGAAATTGAGCTTCTTCTGGTTTCCACAGGAGAATTTTTGTTCTGGTTAATTTATTTTTAATAAATTATTTTTTTTATTTACCCTAACTCGTCTGCACCTAATAGTTCCTGCTCTAAAAACATTCTCTACGATAATTAAGGAATTTTCAAATTAGGCAGTTTTCCAAAATTAGAATTGTGGTGACCTCCACTGTCATTAAAACGGTTTTTTTGTCTGAATATCATTCCGTTTCCTTTTAAAGAAACCAACCGCTACTACCACTATGACAACTTCGACCGCCGCCTCTCCCACCGCCGCCGCCTCGCCGGCCGCTGTGGCCAACCTTTCCGCAAATCGCGAATGCTGAAAATCATCGGGGGCACCGAATCGAAGAAGTACAAGTGGCCTTGGCACGTTGCCATTTTGAACAAATACTACGTAGGTATCCCAAAATGGGTCAATTTCAACGCTTGATAAACTCGTCTATAAATCAATTGGCCAATTTTAGGAAGTGTTCTGCGGAGGCACACTCATAGGCCCACGTTGGGTTCTCACCGCTAGTCATTGTATACGTCCTATTTTACGCGTAAGACTGAACGAACATGACCTAAGGGCTCGAGATGGACGCGAGCTCGAAATGACTGTTTACACGATTTTCCAGCATCCCAAATTTAACCACAAAACAGTGGATAATGATATTGCCCTGCTGCAACTACCAAGGAGTGTTAATCTCCCCATCGCTTGCTTGCCCAAGACTAGACCCAGGCCCACGGAAATTTGCTCGGTGATGGGCTGGGGCAAAATCAGGACCAGCGATACCTATGGCACGCACACACTGCATGAAGCGAAGGTAATTGGCGTTGAAATGATAAGATACGATAAGAGAAGTGTAATTATCACTTATTCTCACTGCAACTAGTTTGGCCCAAATTTTATAACATCTTAATTACAACAATCAATAAATTATTTGCCATTTAAGTGAAAAACAACTCAATTATGTAACTCCTTGAAAATATCAAAAACAGAGATAATCGCTTTCGACCATCCCGAATACCGTACTGAATTATTTCGATTAATGTCGATTAAACGACCTACGTCACATTTTTTATTTTTTCAAATACTTTTTCGAAAAAAATGGGATAGTAAATTTTTATTTTTTCTGTAGCTTCCTATTGTGCCACCAAATGTTTGTCGCCGTTCCTACCGCCACTTCCTCATCACGCCCAACATGCTTTGCGCCGGTTGGCCCTCTGGTGAGGCCGACACTTGCGCCGGAGACAGTGGTGGAGGTCTCATGTGCCCCTTCAAGCGCCGATCAAAACTCGCTTACAGCGTTCAAGGCATCACAAGTTTTGGGGATGGCTGTGGTTTGAAAAACAAGTACGGCATTTACACTACAGTGTTTAACTACCTAAAGTGGATTTACTACGTGATGGACCATTATTCTTAACTCACGAAAATTCAGTATTCGCAAATTTAACACTTTTATAGCTATTTTTGACATTAACAGAGACTTAACTGAAGCAATAAATTTTATTTGTAAAAAGTGATGGTTTTAATGACCCCGAGATGTGCGTAAGTCGTAATTGTGGGTGACGCAAGGTTTGTTTAATGCATCGGACGACGTCCTCTCGTGTTTTTTTGGCGTCGCACGCGGGTGGAAAATTAACAAACCAAATGATTTTTCTTGAAATCTCATTTATTTATGAAATATAATACACAATGTCAATATACTTGCAACTTATTTCACCTTAAAAAAACACACTCGCATAAAATATCATTCTTTCTAATTGCAGTGCTGGAAAACATAAAAATGCATTTTTTCTGCTAAAAGGAAAACTCGACACACTCTCACTCATTCAATTAACTATTTTCGAATTTCTATCACATTTAAACCTTATTTTAATTTTTTTGCTCAAAAATCGAACATATCATCCGTGAACGAATCATCAGACCCAGTCGATGTACTCGTCCAACTATCAGATTCACTATCGAAGAAATTATCATCTTCATCATTGTCATCATCATTGTTGCCGTTATTATCGTTGTTATCATTATTTCCGCCTACGTTGAGCACCAGTCGATCTAGAAAATCATCAACTGAAAAACATTATATTACTTTTAACATAAATTTTGAATTACCATCATTGTCGGAACCGTCGTCGTCGCTCCCGTCCATATCGTCATCTTCTTCTTCCTCATCTTCCTCATCCTGTGTTAAAAAAAGACAATAAAAACTCAAATAAAAATGTAACAACTTCTTACTTGTTCATCCTCATCGTCTCTCTTTCTGCCGACATCGTATATTCTCACTACAGACTCTTGAACCGACTGATAAATTCCCTGATTTTCCACAATCACAATTTGCGTATCAAAACGGTTGACCGCCAGATCGTAGATATTTTTTTTAACCTCAATAGTCGCAATACTCGAATAATCAATCGCATCAACTGTTTTAAAACTCGAATCGAAAGTAGAATCACCGTTATCCAACTCCTGTTCCATTGAAATTGCGTAAATCGCACTATTGACAGGTGAAAAAACTGCAGTACGCTGATTCAAAACTGGCACTGTTTTCAATAAATGAAAAGTTCGGACATCCCAAACTTCAGTATTTGATACAATCTGCAAACATTTTTTTAAATTTTGGCACACGTGATAAACGAAAAATACCTCTAATCCGTTAGGGTGAAACACACCACTTTGGGTCTGATTCAACTTATCCAACTTATGAATCTGTTTACCCGAGTTGACATCAAAAAGCACCCCATCGGATAAAACCAAATCATCAAAAGGGCTAAAAGTGGCTTTATTTCTAGTATATTGGTTACTATCAGTAGGAACTAATCTCGTAATAGATTGGCCAGTGGCGGCATCATAAATCTGAAGCAAAAAAATTAAAATTCGCTAAAGGGCGATCTATAACTTACCGTCGCAACTTCAAGTTTAGTGGCCACAATGCGGTCCTGCGTTACTTTACTAAACTCTACATGTTCTTCATCATCTAACGCAAACCTAAATCACAAATTAGTGAAATAAAATTCTCAAAAAACAAACTTACTTCATCTCGGAATTCTTTATGGCCCAGAGAGCGGATAGAGGCCGCCCCCAAGTTGAACTTGTCAACAAAAACTCGCCACTTCGGTTAGGTTCCAAATGAACGATGTAGTTATCGTGAGTTTGAAACATAAATTCTTCATTTCCGCTATGCAAATTGAAAATTCGTATATCACCACTGTAGTCACCCACGATTATGCTTTTATCGCCCGGTAGGAATTTCGCACAAGTGAAGAAATCGCCATCCGACGAAGAACGAATGGTTTGGACTGGACAAAATCTCGAATGAATAAATTTACGGTCCATAGATTTGGACTGATAACCAATAGCTCGTCTCGCACATCTCACAACAAAATTATTGGCTGTTGCTATCTTTGGTTTGGGGTCTGGGCATTTATGTGGACTAAAAAAAACTATTTAGAAACATAAATCAATTAGTGAGGCAAAAGTTACATAAAGAGGTTGAATTTGGGACAGTTGGCCATGGGATTTTTACATAACGCATGCTGATTGGTCAAATACTCGGTTATGATCGAGTCGAGTGTGACTCGAGGCTGTTCGGGTGAAGTCAGCGGTTCGTCGAGTAAGGTCTGACTCGGTACTCTAACCACAACATCGCTATTCGTTTGTTTTTGCAGTCTTGAGTTTTGTACCGGCGTCGCGACAATTTGATTTTGGTGTTTTCTAAAATTTGTGACTAAAATACCATAATTTTATATAAAATAACTAGCATACTTAATTAATTTAATAGCGGGAGAGGTACAGTTAGATCCATTAATAAATGACGTTTCTTCCTTTTGGACAACTGGTGAATGCGGAATAGTGCGATGCTGTGTTGTCGTGAAATTTAATTTAAGCTAGGGGAGAAAAAATATACAAAAAAATTGTGATGTTGTCATACTTACTCTAGATGGTGTTAGAGTGGACGAGTATCGGAATTTGGTTGGTTGATTTGATGAAATTGGAGTCACAGAATTTCCCAAATTTGCTTCTTTTACTAATATAGAGGCCGTGTCTGGAAAACCCTTAGTGATTAGATGCTGGTGAATCAGTTGTAACAACTGCCGATCATTAAATTGAATTTTAGTTTGGGCTACAACGTTAGCTCTGTGAATGTTGGCCAAAGACACTTCTAAATCGTTTCCTCGATGTTTTGTTTTTCCTGAAAGTCGTTCCAAAAGTTCAAGAGCATATTTTTGAAAAGTAACATGTTCTTGTCGTTTTTCTTGTAAAATTGGATCCCTCATTAAATCTACAATAGCGTTATTCGTTACTTAACTCGGTTGTATCTCGTATTAATTACTTACTCTGGAGTTGCCCACTTGTAAACAGTGGCAATTTTGAAACGATTTGGCGTACAGTCTCAGACCGTGCTAAGCCGGCCAATGCTTTACAAGCTAAAGTACGTATACAATCCGCATCAGTGATTGGTGTTTTAATATTCATTAGTTGCAACAAAACCATTATCCCACTATTCGACCTAACACAATCCCAAACTTTTTGAATCAATTCCTCGCTACTTTTGAATTTCATTTTTTTAACGGGAGTATTTACCGTCGCCGAATATCGGGTTAAAGTGCCACCAACCTAAAGACGAAGCAATGAAACAAATGGCAAAAAGGTATTTAAAAAACGTACCCTATTTATGGGAGCACAAACACAATTGACAATTACTCGAAGTGCAGCTTTTTGTACATCAGCGTCTGCGACTATTTCTCCTTCAGCCGCCCCCAAAATAATATTCATACCTGCAAACAATGAATTAAAACTTAATTAACAAATTTAGGAATTTTGTCGTACCAACTGTGGCACTTTCTTCCGGCAACTCCACCCTATCACAAAACAACAACTGAACTTTGGGCATAACACAGGCAATCGCCAACGTATCCAAAGCCGATCTAACTGTCTCCGCTCTTCCGCTATAATTCCACTCATAAGCAAACGCAATTATTTTTAACAACAGTGTAATTCCTCCCAATTTTAGTAACTGATCGACCGGAATCCAATGTCCTCGAAACGGCATATATTGCAACAATGTTTCGACGTTCTGTTGGACTTCTTCAGGTGATGACTTGTACGGTTTGCAACTCAGTTGCGCAGGCAAAGCCGGCTGAGCCGACTTTTCGTTAAGTCTGAGTTGCGATCTTTTGATTGGTTCGACTTTCAGGTTAAGGTGAGCTTCGAGATATCGACGGTATGCGACGCAAACATGTCTAACGATTTGCCGAGCGGCGCATTCCTGATCTTCATTTAGCTGAGTTGTGTCTGTATCCGGAAGCAAAATCGATAATGTAGAAATCTACAAAATTGTTACAGAAAAAATACTTTTTCTTTGGTTTTTTTCTTACCACATTGTGTAATTTTCTTAACCCATCATGAGCATCAAATTCCTCCAAAATAACTTTGAACTGAAACGTGAGACCGAAAAACATAATCGCATGACACCGTCCTGAGTCATGCGAGCATTCCAAAAGCCACAGAGCGTACCTAAGTGTGTTTTAATTTTGATTTCACCAAATTTTATAATACTTACTTGACTAAACTGGTGATTAAGTATTTAGGAAGCAAGCAAACTCTCTCCATTGCCTCTTCACAATATCCTAAATAATACAAACATATAGAAACGCCAGTAGCAGATATAGACGGCCTTGGAACCTCCAAAAGTGACTGAAGTCCATCCATTTGAATAAACTCAATTGAGAATTTTTTGTGGCATAAAAGAGCAGAAAGATATTTTAAGGCTTCAAAAGCTAGTCTCGCCTCTTTGGTCGCTCTGACATTTACATATTTTAAAACCAAACTAAGAGCCTCATTTTCAAAAACATGACTTAAAAACTCCTGATATTCGCCCAACGGCGTCAAATACCGCAAAATTAATATTTGCCGCGTCGCTATAGTTGGAGGAAAAATTTGCACAGTCCCAATCATAAAACTTTCGAGTTCTGCCCACGATGAATTGCTCGTTTCATTAAACAGAAGGACCTTTTGAGGAGTGCCTTCATCACTTTCGGTTGAATTGTGACCTAATTTTAACCTTTTTCTTTTCTGACCAGTTTCCGAATCTGACAACTGAGTTAAATGTGAAAAGATATTACTGAAAGGAAAAGAAACACTTACCTCACTGGCTTCATTCCTAGCCGTGTTTATTACGTCAGTATTTTCTTTATTGAGTGTTGTTTTTGAATTTGGAATAACTCCATTTTCACGAGCTGTAAAAATAATTGTAAAACAAAATAAAGTTTGGGATAGTTACGTACGCCTTTTAATACCAGAAGGAGAAACTTTTATGACACCGTCCCCCCGATATGGAGGCGACTTCATTGACGATAAGTGTGCAAACGGTCGAGAATTTGTCGTATTTAAAAATTCTGACGAATTTTGAAGCCTACGCAGTCTTTGAAGTAGTAAAGGCACAAGTCGTCCGTTTTGTTCCCTATTTTTGCGTGATTAGCTGTTATCAGTTGGAAATGAAAACTTACCTAAAACGTGTAGCAATCTCTGGAATTTCCATTGCAGCAGCTAAAAGTCCTGTTGCGTAACTTTGCAAAGGTTCTATTGAATTTGTAGTCCATTTAATTAAACGGTGTATCAAATTATCCATGTCAGGCTGAAATTAATTATTATTTTTTCGACAAATAATTAATTTAAAACATACTTGAAAAACTACTGATGTCTCTAAGCCAGGCATCACGTCTAGCATCAACCTACATGCTGCAATATTCAACTGATCAACATCCTTGTCTGTAATTCCCGACCTAGAGTAATATGTCTCTCTCAAGTAATCATTAACAAGCTAAAAAAGATTTTTTTTGTGTACTTCTACATAATTTTTAAAACGGATAATACTTTGTTCATAAAATTGTCCTTTCTGAAAAGTGCTTTCAATATTTGGCCAAGTTTGCAGTCTGGGTCAGTCCTTGAAGGATGACGTTCATCAAATGGATCTGGATCCATTTTCAAGTAATTTTCAGTCTCCACTTCGCATATTTCGGCCAATCTGAGAAGAAAACAATTAGAATTTGCCAAATTAAAGCCAGACCTACCTGGTGAGAGTCGGAATGGGGTCATAATTAGGCTCTGTATGCTCATCTTCCCAATTCCTAATCAAAGTTGTGACTTCTGACATAATAGAAGTCGAATTGCTGTTTTCTGACATTATTGGTTTTAAATGTTATAAAATAAAGGGCATGAGGTAGTTTAACATAACCTAAAATTCTTCACAGTTGTGTAAACTCAAGGTGAGGGAATTTGCACAGTTTGAACACCTCTAGGGTAGCAAAAACAATAGATCAATTTAAATTAAACAGCGGTGGTTAGTAAAAAATCTCAATCACAATTTCACAAATTAGCGTAATACACTTCCACAAAGCGTAAATCACAAATCTCAGGCTCCATTGGAAAAATCGAGCTCGTTATGTTACTAGAAAAAGTGCCGCCAATAGTAAAATTGAAAACTAAACTAAAAATTATGTATTAATAAATTAAATAATGCAAAATAAATTTTAGTATTAAAAAAATATGCACAATTCTTATCTTTTTTTAGCTTAAACTTGTAAATCGATTTTGTTTAAATAAAATAGATAAATTTGTTGAAACGTACAATGTTGGTATTTCCAGTATTTCTAGAAACTTTACTGCCGTATCAATTTTAGATTGGTATTCTTGATATTAAGTCGATAAGTGTAGTAATTTCCACGATTTTCAAGCAAATTTAAAGAAAACAGACCAACAGTGACGCTCCAAAATGAGTGGTGATGATAATCAGACTGAGCAATTTGATTCTCTTTTTCTGTCAATAGCGCAACACCATCCTCAAGGCGCTTCTCAGGTGAGCCCTGAATTTGTTTATCCTAACCTGAAAATCATGACACAAAACTTCAGTTATTGGACACTTTCGTGAGTTTTCTAAGCCGCAAGACAGATTTTTTCACCGGGGGTGAAGAAGGAGCATGGGAAAAGGTAAACCTGATCAAAACCTGGCGCAATTTGTATGAAAATGAGGTTTCTTCTTTCAGTTAGTAATGAGCACATTTAGAAAATACGAAAAGGTTTGTCGTAAGAAACAAGAGTCTGAATTAAAAGAGCGCCGAGAACGCGAAGCCGCTAAAAAGAAAAAACAAGAAGAGGAGAAAGTAAAACCGGCTGAAATTACCGAATTGACTGATGCTGAGGCTGAAAAGTTGCAAGCTGAATTAGACGCTAAGAAAAATGCGGTCAGTAATGGGGCCTCAGCGCCCGTGCCTGAGAAAATTGAGGATGACGAGGATGCCTCAGAGATAGGAAAATTAAAACCAAATAGCGGTAATGGATGTGATTTAGAAAAGTACAGATGGACTCAAACTCTCCAAGACGTTGAGGTATGTGGTTTGAGTGGTTATGTTGATGTAGAAAAGTGTCATAATAAGAATTTCGATTTTGTAGGAAATGATTTATTTATATAATTTAATTAAAAATCAATTTACAAGTTTTTCAAGGAGGTTCAGTACCTGCCTTAAAATTGTTCATAAATACTATACAATGCTGTAATGATTGCTTTTACATATCACAGTAACATCAAAACGAATACTTATGGATAGCTTATGATTTAAAACAACCACGATTTTGGTCCAGTTGCTAATTCTAATTAAATAGTAAATTAAATAACTAACTACGTTAATAAGTAAGCATGACATTTCAGTGCTTCTTCGTCAATTTTTAGCCTCTAGGCGAGAAATGTCTATGCTTGTCTTAATCCTAGTACCGTTGTCTTTTCGCTCTCACTGAAACAATAAAAAAATCAATTCCAATTGGTTGCGACAGGACAAAAGACTGTCAATTAGCGACTTGATTTTGAAATAACTCACTTTCTAAAAGAAATATCGCCGCCATGATCCCTATGGTAAACAAAGCGGACATCGTCAAAACTAGAATCGTCAATTGGTGTTTTCGACAGAAACTTCTTTGCCTGACCACAGGTTTCGTGTTCATATTGACTACGGTAAAATGCATCGAACTTGCTACTGAAACAGCATCTGGATCTGGTTTCTTCAAATCATTAACGGGTAGTGCTATATGATCTTTGTTGTTTGTTTGTTCGAGGTAATACTGAATGTTTTGTTGTCTGGTGTTTTTATCGGCGTTTTCATTTTGAATTTGGGCTAAATTAGCTGCTGTCAGTAGTAACGAACCGGACCTTGCACTCTAAAAATTTAATTAACATATATTTTTTTAATTCTCTTAATGTTTATACCTGTGTGCTATTATTGCTCGATGTCGAACCCTGCGAACTCTTTGAGCTTCTAGCTAGTGTGGGCCTGGGGATGTGCCAGCTCTTGTTGAGCTCTGCCGGAGTCTGTAAATATGAATTTTAATTGTAATTAAAGTAAGTGGTTGTTATTTAATATCGAAGGTCGCATATTTATTGTTAATTCATCGCATTATGCAAGACTTTAAGCAGGTGTCAAATCGGAATCGATCCGGCATTTATCGGTTGCCAAGGCATGAGCTACCACCGAGGCCCAAGGCCTGTCACATTGCATTCACGTAAAAAACAATTACCGGTAATCCGAGTCTCGACATTCTCTTTATACGGATTCAAAAAAATTTGTGAAAATTGTGACTAGTGGTAGCGAGTTAATTTATGTTAATTCAGATTTCGGCCTCGTTTTTTATTAATCAATGGACGATTTCCTTATTAGGACGCATGTTTTTTTCATTGAACGCCGAACGTGACGCTCATTTTTATAGATCATGTTTGTATGACATTTTGTAATAATTGGCTTTGTTGATAAAAATACACATTCTGACATTTTATTGTTTGATATCGGCGTTCGGTAGCATTGAATTTAATCACTTGCTTATTGAAAGGTAGGAAGATTGACATCCAAGTAATCAGTGAAACACGCTAATACATTTTTATCTCGGTCACGGCCGCCGTTTGTAGTCTAATTTTTCATTAGTGGCCTTTTATTTTCTCGGTATTCTTCCGAAGATTTTCAAGCGACAATGACTGTAACCTCTCTCCTGGAATTCGGCGATGTTTTTATTTACGTCTTCTCACAATCGAACCGTCCTTGCTTAAAACCATTAATATTTGTTTTGACACATTCCGGATTCTACTCATTGCAGTGAATTCCACCGGTGACGACATTGGTGGATTTTCTTGTTGCATCATAGATAATCACTTAATCCAAACATTGACGCGTGCTTAATGCTTTTTAGTGGCCGGAAGAATATTGGAACGTTCTTGGTTACAACAGTAAATTATGTACTGGCCGGAGACTCCGGGTGAAACAATTAGAAGATAAATTGAAAAGTTCCAAGTGAAGGTTTAGTGACCTAAACGATATTTTATAGTTTCATGCAAATTGCAAACGATTAATGAGTGCGGTATTAATCAACATCAATTAAGAACCGTGTTCAAAGGCAACCTCCATATGCACATCTTAGTAGACAATCTAATTGCTGTAGCGATATTTTAATTTATTGTACCACAATTTATTCAGTGGTTTGTGTGAACAGGTCACGAAACGGCTACTAATTATCACCAACTATCTCACAATTTATAATCATCCTTTCTCCTGGATTTGGTGAAATTATTAGACCGAATATTTTGGCTATGAATTAATTCGAGTGATATTTTTTCTACTTTTTTTCCACTTCCTCATTTGCTTATATAAACATGTGAGTGAAAATTTCCGGGGAGTTGCACGCCGTTGTGAATCTTCGATTTTTTATTTAACAATCTTCATTAAAAGTTATAATTTTAATCGTGTTTTCGGGTCAATGCCAGTCTGTTTACCTTATTTTAAATAATGGGAAAACAAGAGGATGCGTGTTTACACAACAAACTTCTTATTTATTTTAATCGGTCGTGTTCATCGTTGCGTTAATTCGAATGAATATTGATTTTAAGGGGTAACATTTTTTTTTTCACTAGGAAGTAACTTTCACGAGTTGCAAGTTGTAATTATTTTTTTTTCTTTATTAATTATCCGTTGTGATTTAATGTGATTAAGGAACTGAGTCAAGGTTTTGGGTAGGGTTTCAACGTCAGTCTTTTTCAAGCAGAGACCCTTTAAATCATGAATACACCAAGTTTTCTCTTAATTAAAACTTTAATTGCAACAGCACGAAATACGAGTGCATTAATCACATCCTTTGCAATTGAATGTTGCAAAATCGGGTTAATTGCCGAAGTGTGAAAATGATCGCTGCATTTTTATTGCGTGGGAGGTGCGTGTCTGCATTTTGCCTTCGTCGGGATCAATGTCAATGTGTGAAATTTATGAATTATTTGCAAAATTTATTGCTTTATCAATTATTAAACAGTGTATAATTATATTAAAATCAACTCAGAATTTAATGATTAGTATTAATTAGTAATTAAAATTAAGTTATCTACTTTGCTTTTTTTAATCACACTAAAATTTGAATGTAATTAAATTTTTTGTATAAAAAATTTGTGTACGATTGCTGATAAAAATATTTTTTCGCTTCTTATCACGATGTAAAAAAGTTAAACTCACGTTATCTGATTCAAAACCTTTGTTGTCCATGGTTTTGAATGTAAATCAAATAATCACCCACAAACCACACCACTCTCAGAACTCTCAATCTTGACTGTCAGCGCGTACCGTGCTTACTGTTTCAGCATCCTCCGGAGCGATTTCTTAAATAAGTCTAGTAATGTCCGCTATTTCGCCCGGACCGGCGTGCGGCACGCGCTCCGGTGCCAGACTCCGGATCTAATAAATACCTAGTAATGACCTGATTCTTAATTTGGAAAAACAATTTTCGAGAATATGACCAAAACTGACCTCCGATTGATCGTTTCGGGTGATTTACACTTAGAACACGTCCTTTGAATATTTAAATAAACAACTTTTCGAATGCTGAGTTATGATATTGGTGCTTCCGAAATGGATTAATTCCGGAAATTAGACAAATTTGATATCGAGGTAATAATAAAAATATCTATTTTCAAAGTGTCAGAAATTTTAATTAATTATTATTATTTAGTAAATAAGTGGTAGCACCATTGCGGAAGTAAAATGTGTTAATTTGTTTTTAAAACATCTAATTTATGACGTGCGTGCTAATTTATTTATTTGTTATATTTTTCTAGAGTAAGTAAGTAAAAAAATCAATTCCTTATTGCTTCTGATGGGTCTAATTAAATTTAATAAAGAAATACTCATCTTGAATGTCCATGAAAGCTAATCACGGATGATCGTTAATGTTTTGTTTTTTGCTAATTACACATTCAATACATATCCTTGTAATGTATACTTTTTTTTAAATTGTTGAAAAGTAATCAGTCACTGGACAAAATTTTGTTAAATCACAATTATTCAAAGTGTTGCCATTGAGTCTCGTGATCGGCATACCGACTTTTATTGTACCGGAATATTGAATATTCAATCTTATTAAATAAATTCATTGATTTAAATTGTTCGAATTGTGCGAGTCGCGAAGTCATTAATTTTAAAACTTGTCGAATCGGATGGATTCCATTGAAATTCTTCACTACCGGTTAATTAGCGATTATGTAACACGTGCAGGTGTGTCTTTTATCTGTCTATAATTAGATAAATCAATCATCTTATTAATTAATAAACGCAATTTTCGTTGGCTCTTTTGTTTGAAATATATGGGTTAAAAACGAGGGCTTAGATTGCACAAAACGGGTCGCCCATGCACTTATAAATTTCTCCTACACGTTGTGTGCTAAATACGCTCGAGATTTGAGATTACTTCTCGTCTCGGTTTAAACTCGTTCCAATAATAATTTGTTAATTGTACCCGATTAAATTCCGATTTAATCACAGCCGATCCGAGGTCACAACCACATTCTATTTTGTGGAAGAATGAGTTTTTTTGAAAATTACGATTCTCGGTAACGAGTAGTAAGAGTAATATTAAGATTGGCCATTTAACGAAGATCCTGGTCGGTGGGTTTAAAAATAAAATGATAATCTAAGTGAAGTAAAGATGGTGCTGAAATGTTTATGTACTGCGATTTTAATGTGACATTTATATTCCTGAAAGATTTTTCAGTATGATTTTTTACGAATGAGTTGAATTTGTCAGGTGTTTGTTTACTTTATTAGAATAAGATAACAACTTATTCCTAAATGATCGTTGCTGGTATACATTTAAAAAAAATACATAGTAAATGCCTTGAGCTGATATTGTGAAGATTTATAAACGAGGTAGCCCCCATACAAATTATGGAAAAGGTAAATCTGAAACTGTCATTGCTCTCGGCTAGGAAGTAATGGATAGACCCTTTTACTAAATTATTTCATACAAATGACATTGTTATTAATTATAGGTTTAACATGAGAAATGTGTTTTGTCTCTTGTTTTGATTATCATATTTTATTGAAATACTTTGTCAATATTGTCAATAAAAAATATTGTTTCGAAAACTTTTTCTAATATACTCGTATGGATGTGATACCTACCATTTCATGTTTTTATTTTTTGTACTTGTAGTTAATACACATAAGAGTAGTTTTTGATGGTTCTAGGGAATTTTGTACAGTTCGTAGCAATAACATAATGTTAAAATTTAGTATTGGTTTCATTTATTTAGATTGTTATTAATTTATTTAATTTACATTGAGAAATGCAGACGACTATACTACTATTATGAAATGACTGTTTAATTGTTTTAAGATTAACTTTTTTGAATTTAGAAAAAATGACAATGAAGTTTTTATGAGACGTTACATTTATGGGGGGGAACAAAAACAAATTTTTATGTTACTGAACTTTATTGAAAGCTCGAAATATTGCGAACGCAAAATAACTGCTTTTTGTGTACTCGTATACTTATAGGTGAGAAATTTTCTTATTTTTTACATTGTTGAATGTTTTTGTTTTCTAAAATTGTTAAAAATTATGAATTTGATTAAATTGAGTATTAACATGATTTACTATTATATTTAAAATTGTTTATATCGAATTATGAAATTCGTATAACCCTTTTTCCGTTTTTTTTAACCAAATTTTAGATACATTTTGACCTTATTTTAAGAAATTTTTACAATAGTAATTTTGGAAATAGCTGTTAAATCAGTTTCAACTATCTAGTTCTCTTCATTTCATCAAAGAAAGATTTTTTCAAATAACTAACTAATTATGTAGTTGTTTCGCAAAGCTCAACCACAGTTAATTCTTAATTAAATTATTTTTATAAATATTGTGAAGGAAACAATTAGTTGTGTTTTCCTGTCACGTTATATAATAAAAGTGATGCTTGCTATAATGCACCAGTGAGTCATATCTTAACATCTCCATTATCAAGTGTTGTTAATTGCTGTCATTGGTTTTTTCTCTCGTAAAAAATGGAAACATTGTTATGACTATAAAATGACCAGGAAATATTTACGAAATTGCACTTGTAACCAATACAGGGAGGGTGTCGGGTTTTAGCCACGCCCCTAGGTCCTTCTTGTCTTTCTTCACAGAAACAATTCTTTGTGAGTCACATTAAATGTCACTCAGTCGTCACTTGAGCAGTTTATACTTTTTTTCTCGCTTCGATTATAACAACAAAGGACCGCATGTGCCTTTTGATTCCTGCTACTGAAAGCGAATTTTTGCAGACGTTTTAGTGTTAAAAATTACGAAACCCGGTAGGTAAGTTAGCGATATTAGTATGTCGTGAGTCATTTGCCTTGAAAATTTTTACCTACTTATTAACAGAAAACTGGTATATTTCGAAGCGAGCTTTTTCCGAAAGGCGCCTCCTTGACCGACCAGGAGACGATTTAGTCGTTGCCGAATCGAAAAAAATCCCAGTGAATGTGTTTCGATTTGGTTGCATTGAGGCGGAACGGTGTTACAATAATATTATCTCTTGATTCATCACCAGGAAAGCGTCCTTGGAAATGCATCGATGTTGGTTTTTATTAAATGAATGTGACGAGTTGCGCGAAGTCGACACAAGTCACGTCGGACGTGCACTCCATTCGAACGATTTGTGTAATAAATCGTTCATGAAACGGATGCAAAAAATTGCGAAACGGTTGCAGGGCCGGCTTTAAACCCTCTTGATTAATTATCCTTATTGAGTCTGCGATTGCGATCAATCAGTCCTTGGTCAATTTTGACATTCCTTTCCTGGATTTATCACTGCACACATGCACATACGCAAACAAATTAATCTAATTGGTACTTTTATTACAATCAATCATTTTGTGCTTCGCCTTGGCTAATTATCGGTTCTATATCGGGCAAGAGATGTGGAGCGATTTAATCTGGCCATCGTCGAGATGCTTGAATTAAAATTGATATTATGTTTCGGCAAGATTTCATCCAGTTGCGATTGCAAGTTGTCGACCTGGGGTTTAATTTAGTGCGAAATGCTTCGAGAAAGATGGGTTTTTATCAGGGCAGAAGGTATGTAATGTGTATAGGTATACGTATGTGTATTTCTGCATTTTTTTTAAATTGTTTTAATTGGCGTAATGACTCGCTTAATGTATTTATGGTAATGAAAACAACCGTGAAATTAATTTGACTACGCTGAAGCAAATGAAATAATGAATATGCTGTAAAGCAATAATTTTAACAAAATGATAATCGGATTAGAGAAATAAACTAGGTGTACTGTCTTTTTCGCGGGATTATAGCTGAGTTTATGTGACTGTTGAGGGGCTATAATGTTAGATTTTTCTAATAGTAATAGGATCGTTAGAGGTGTCTAATTACATCCTGTATGCATTTACATGTAACTGAACAATTCTATTAATTATTCAGTATCTTGCTTATTTTCTTTATGAATAGTTTAATTTAAATTATTTTTAAACTTTTGGATCTTACATGTGAATGTTATTTATTTTGAAGAAAGTTGTTTTATTTGTTTTATTTTTCTAATTTTATAATTATTTAAATATGTGTATTTTTTATTTTTGTAGTTAAAAAAATTAATTTACCTGTAGGTATATTCGTCATAATCCCGAGAATTTTTTCAACGCTGATATAATAAATCTTAGCTTAACTTGTTCTTACCAGGAAAATTTATCATCTTCATATTTTAATGCCTCTTTTTTCAAATGTTAATTAAGAGAAAATTCTAAATTAGATGCGGTGACATTTTTTTCTTATTTTTTTACGTATCACTGTCTGGAATTAAAGTCATGACATTTACCACCACTTTGTTTCATTATACTTTACAATGACGTTCCTGATTCAAAAATACAGAACATTGTTACCCTTGTACCAAACAACAGAAGCAAGATCCTCAAAAATGGTAGTGAATCGATAATTTATCGCCAGCTGCGAAGTTAATTTTTATGTTTTTCAATTTACATGATTGGCATCAAGGTAAATCATAACAAAGCTCGCGTCTAAATATTTACTGTTGCTTTACCAAAACCAGAAACTTAACATTGTCATCGAATCATAAAGTTACGACCCAGGAAATAAATTTTTCAGTTTTCATAAAAATTATTCAAGAATGTCGCATTTCGCGCATTAGAATTTACAGTTTCAGGAATTCAAAATAACCCGTATCGTGACTTTTGACCACTTCTATGACATGATCAATAGGATAATTTGTTAATGACGTCATTATCGCTGAAATCGTGTCTTAAATTGTGTTTTAATACTATGTGATTTGACACACGTACTGTTATAACCGTTTAAGG